AAAAAAAAAAAAAAAAATAGATTACGGAAAATTAGTTTTCATAAAGAAACAGTCATTTATTGACCCGTTACCGTATTAGTTAGGAGTAGCGTTACTACAGTAATTGCCAGCAATTACGTCTGCTGTTTCTATCTATGACCCGAGCTCTCTGGCTTGCAACTATATCGCGGATCTATAAATCTCGATAAAATGATATTTACGTTTTCTCATGGTTGTTTTATCGTTTAATGAAAATAAGGAGAAGGACGGAAATGAATCTAATAAGTACCTTAAGTCTCGTCGCCTTACAGCTTAAACTGTGAATACGTATACTATATATAATATATATCTGTATGTATGTATGTATGTATGTATGCGTGTGCAAATTATTGTGTACACTACACATGTACAAATAGCTTTAATGCATATGGCCTTATTCGCGACGATGAATTGAAATTGTATACCACACACCGTTCGAAAATGTCGCGTTATGAGTCATTTGTCTAAGCCTTGGTGAACGCAACAATTTTCCGCCATTTCGTAGTAATTAATGCCAACTATTCTTCTTATTCTTATTCGTTCGAAGCTGGATCGATCCGGAACGTTCGCCTCGTTAACGCGTCGATCAGAATCCTATTACCGATTCCTTCGTACAACGCCAACTCTCCTCCCTGTAATTCAATTTCTCTAAACAGTTTTTGCATCTGCACGCACCACGGCTCACGCGTTATCGATTACGATTTTAACACCATGTACAAGTTATATCTGTAATTGAATTTTCATCGATTTACCAACAGAATAGTCCATAAGTTATATTCGGTAACGCGATCGTCGCTCTTTCAGCCGATAGCCAGAATCCGCATGCTCGGCTGCGATTAATCGAAAACCAGGACTGCCGTCAAAGCTTGCGAGAGCTAGGCTGAATTACTTTCTATTCTGTTGAAGAGTACTCTGAGTTAGGTCGGTGATAAGGATCGCGCGAAATACAGAAATTTACGAGTTTAAGAATTTATAAATTTCACAGTTGAAAATTTCGACATCGAAAATGAATCGCGGATCAAATGCACGCGCATCGTTTGTAACCTTTCGCCAGAAAGGTGATACGATAAAAAATAAAGAAACCACTCTACTATTTTATCGGAAATTGTTATTCGTTGGAAAAACTCAAAGACGTACGGTCAAGTAGCATCGAGGCAATCTCGCTTTCAACCTCTCTTCCCACAATTGTCTCCTCTTTCAGCACGCAGCGTCCCAGTTTTGCGGCAAAACGAGGCACACGCACATTAATACGCGCTACAAACGTAGCCGAGGCTTAGCCCTGAACCGCGAGTCAACGAACGCCCAGGGAGAGGCTCGGAAGATTACAAAACTCCTCTGAGAACGCGCACCGTGCACCTGAGATTAACAGCTTAAATCTAGGAGTCATCATGTACCACCGTGTGCACTCTGCGTTCTCGTTTGCGTTGCGCTTACCATCCAGCTTCGATTTCTCGATCAATGAATGGAAAGCGGAATTATAGAATCTACCGTTTCTAAACTGTGCTTTTGGATTTTCCAATACATAGTAAAATTAGTCTCGTATCCATTGATTCACTGCTTCGGAAGTCACAGTAAAGCAGATTAGCGGTGTATAGATTTGATCCTTCGGTGGTGCTGCAAAAACAGAAATAACAAACAGATGATTTATTCTTTAGTCACACCAAAGTTATTACTAGAAACTTCATTGCGTTATAAACATGTTAAAAAAAACAGGCTGATACCGACAACAGTCGAAATGATACATTGAATGAGTAATAAATTCAACGTAAAAGCGCGAACGCGTAGCCTTCGATGCGAAATTCGCGGTAATCGATTGTCTTTATAACAAATGATGTCATCGCATCGTGCTATGAAAAGAATATTAAACGTTTTTGACTCATACACGGAGAGTTCGATGATGATTACTATTTGCACGTTGAACGATTCGTGCGTTCATCGAAAATTCGGACAGTCGGAATTCGAAAAAATGAAATCAGCAAATTAATTATTTGTATTTCTCTTTGAAAACAATTGCATACCCAAATTGTGAAACGTTCGGATACCGATACTGTTCTCGAGTACAGTGTTCTTCCGTCTTTCGTCATCGTTTTCGAACTTAGAAAAATATCTAAAGTAGCTTTCGCAACGCTTTTCAATGGTAAAAATATCTGTAGATTATACACGACAGGTAGACCGATCTGCATGATGAGCTTCCTTATTCTCTAGGTCCTAGGGTAATAGCGTAACTCGTAATATATTTGAATTTTCAAACTGACAAACTTTAAAAATGAGTAAATCAGAAATATAAAAACTTGAAACCTGTCCAATTTACAAATATCTCCCCAATTGTTCTTCATCGAAGGAAACCTCCAGTGCATAATAGACCTGCAAGTAATGCTTTCTATTACGCGAGAGTCTCTGATTGCGTTTGGTTTCGTCGAGGGTTTCGGTCGGTTGAGCTCGATTACAGTTGATTTTCAGGCTGGAACGCTTCACGCGCGATCGTAAAATCGTTTCCTGTTTATATTGTTCATTTAAATCCACGTGAAAATGTTTCGTGCCAACTCATAATTGGTATAAATTGATTCAGTTTATTAGCAACGTTTTTTCTAGACGACGATGCTCGATTAGTTGATTCTTACGAGACGATACGAAGCGAGGCGAAACTAATCTCGGCACGCGTTAATTATATTATTTCGAGGTCGTTTCATGTATCAACATATTTGTACATGTAGGATTAATATATTTTCTACGATCGTAAATCGTCCGGAGTGTCCTGTAACAAATGAAATAAGTTAAAAATAATTTCATTCGATTATGGGTAATTAAAAAGTAAGAAGTTAAATCTGTTTTTGGAAATCATTTTAATTTTTTTTAATGAAAACTAAATATTAGCATTTTGTTCCTTTTTACCATGTATGTTCAACTTACTTTTTCGTGAAGAATCAATTAACATCATAATATTTTTACGAAACATACGATATATATAATATTATATAGCATGGAGATGCGTCTAAAAAAATTTTATATAATCGTGTATCGTATTTGTTTAAAACTTATTACGCTGTGTAGTAGTTTGTAATTTCGTTAACGTATCATGTTTACATAAGTTATATCCTATTAATAAAAAAAATAGATGTAAGTAATCCTTGAATTCCTTCTTCGATTATCATTCTCGACAATTCTTGATCATTCGTTGCATAACTGCATCATAAACGATGTCTGTCTCGTTAACATATCTAACCAGATCTTTGCCCAGTGCTTTTTTAATAGAATTTGCAGGCTCTATTTTTAGGACGTTACGTTTGAACCGAGTGTTATACGCGTCGGTAATTCAGATAATCCTTTCTATTGTCACAGACTTAGATAAGTACATACAGTAGCGAGAACGGTGGATTTCCCTCGCAAAAATGGCGACGTTGAGACTGTAGACGTACTTATTTATAGTTGAGATATACACTGAACTGTAGGTTACTCGAAAAAATTTAGAATTCGGTCGAGACGAAATGCCCCATTACTATTTCTTTTTTATTTTTAATTACTTAGTTAAATTTAAGGATTCACTCTGCACTCGCCTTTATTCGAAGGAAGCTGCGTTGCACACAAGTGCATGAGATGAATCCTTTGCAATGCCTCAGATTCTGAAAATAAGGCGAAAAGTTTATTGAGGGAATAAAAAACGGAAAAAAGGAAAGATAAATTAATCGTACAATGTTGATAGTATCCGTTTTAATACCGACGATTTCAAGAACTACAATGAACAAAATGATTAAATGATTTAATCAAAATGAAGTTGATTAAATAGTAAACGTAGAATGTAGATATTTCTGTTAATGATCAATACAATATCGAACATTTAAATAATCTAGTGCATGAAATTGAAAATTTGCATTACATTTATCATAAATATTTAGTAGTACTTACTTGTAATATTTCTACTCAAAAAGAAACAAAAAGAAATAAACTATTACTTTTAATTTTTGTAATTTACGGTTTAATTTTAAAAGTGTAAACGGCTTAAAATTGTGTTTCCATATTCCGATTCGAATGCTTTAATCGCAAACAATTGAGCAGACATCTGACGGCAAACAAACAAACTAATGAATTAGATAATAATCGATACATCGAATATAAAATACTGTACCTTGACGATATGCTTCGACCGATAACGTTGCAATTTTTTTCAGAATAATATGTATCATGATTTTTTTTAAAATCGGCCAAACATTGGTGTTAGTACATACTCAACAAAAAACAGAAGAAATCACCATATTCAAAATTCAACATTTTTCGATTTTTTACAGACACAAATAAAGTACAACACAGGTGAAAAAAGGAAATGTAGAAAAAGGAACGCAATTGTTTCAAACAATAGAGACAACCGTTTAAAAAACAGGTTACTCGTGTACATATTTTATTGCATTAAATGATACAATATCACGTATTCCTTTTGAAATAAAAGTTTATTAAAATTACCTATGTGATTTGACTGAAATTTAACAAATTCAATCTTTATTTAAAAATTAAAATAACGTTATCAAAAATATGAAATAACTTTCTTCGATAAATATCTATATTTATTTTCATAAAATGTATTCAATAATACGTATTTTTCAATAATTTCCTCTAAAAAGCATGCAAGAATATAATTTGTCTTCAGATATATGTATAAATGTCATCAAGATTTTCGTCTGATTACATTTTTCTCTATACTGTGGTAACAATAAAACACTATTATTATTTGCTACTTAAGCTGAATGTCTCAAAATAATAAATTGTCTTATATTCCATATACTTTTTCAGTAATTAAACACATATTATGAATTTATTACTACTTATGCGGTACAAAAACGAACTGTGTATTGTAAAATAAATTTACAAAATTACCCTCAAATAAATGCTGACATACTGATTCTTAACTACAATGATATTAATAGTTATTTCCTCGATTTTAATGAATATATGTATCATCAGTTATGTTCCTGTGCCTTGTCAACATTCGTACACAAAGATCACAAGCGAGAATGAATGTCTCTACTTATACAAACTGTGTAAGGTAGCATAACATGTCATTTGACATTTTATAAACCAATCTTATTTTCAATTAATTCTATGCATGTAATACAAACAAACGTATAATTAACACAAAAGTTATTCTAGCTTTTGTTACGTTTTCACATACTTAAAGAAATATTATTTAAAAACGTTCCTTCTATCTTTTTAAGGTCAATATTTTATACAATGTTTAAATTAAATTGTTATTTAAAAGTTTTAAATAACGTTTTGAAATAATCTTTCTGAAGTACAGATATGTTTATAATATATAAGATTTACATTTGTCCCATGTTGATGTTTACATGACCTGCTCTCGTAATATAAACATACTTCAGCAAATAAGGAAAATTAAAAATGTGCAACATATTTTAAATAGTATTGTTCAACTCAAGACGCGGCCTTTTGCTGCGAACTGTGCCACCGTCATCTTCGGAATCACCATTAGCGGATAAAAAATCTCTTTTCCTGACAGTATGCTAAAAAACAGAAATAATAAATATCTTCTGATATTCGAATTATTGGAAGCAAACTAGATTTTATACATAAGCAAATAATTCATACATTTATATCCCAATGTTGATGGAGGTACCTTAATAATATGGTTGTTTTTTCTGTAACTATAACTGAAAATAATGATTACATTTACAGTTAATAATTTTTATTTCCATAACATACATCTATTTGTTTCAACTTGAACTTACTTTGCTCCGAGGGATGATCTTTTGTGGGAAGATATACCGAAGGTTTCTTTACACAGATTCTGTTTCCGCTATCCGTGTGAAAATTGGCAAAATTATTTTCATTGTGTGAAGGCAAACCTTTTAAAAATTCAGCAACAGACTGGAAATAATACGAATCCAATTATCATTACATTAATAAATATCGAATGCAAGAAAAGTTTTTAAAAAGATACGAACACAGATAATTTAGCACAAACTACCTTCTTCTAATGATTACAAACGCTTTAGTAAATTGAGGAATCATTTACAGTGTCGGTAAAATAATTATTTTCTCTCATAATATTTAGAGACATACATAACCTAATATGATGATTTTTAAAGGAGTCGAAATCACAAAATACAAACGAGAAATAAATTTTACCATTTTTATATATTCAAATGTCTCCACTTTATAGTCCTTCGAAATATTCATACACTTTCGAAGAAATATTAATTCTCAAAACTCTCTAACTAATACAAAAGTAATTTCCATCACTCGCATCACTTCAATATTCTCCAAACAACCGCAGACTCGGAAATATATAGATTCTATTCTCCCTGTCAATTAATGACGTAAAAGATCTGTGAATTCAAATGACGAGAGTTAAATCATTAATTATATACATCAGCTTCTATTTTATTTGTCAGCGTACCAAGCTTTTATAAAAATTCTCTACGATTATAATTATAATTTCATTACTGATTGCCAATAATTTTATATAAAAAATGTTATCAACGTTTGAATTTTAATTTGTAAGCATTTTAATACAGTCATATAACAGTTTACGAATAATATATATACTTGTTACACAATTTGCTAATTACCTTCGTTCTTTTTGTAGCTTATAAAAGGATGTATGTAAGCAAATAATGTAAACAATGTCACGTCTGACACTTCCGAATATAAACATAACCTTAAGAAGATAGTGAGAATGACATTATATTATTTCTAAATACCAGTGATATAATGTACAAGAAAGTATGGAAGCATTTAAGAAAAATTGATGATACATTTGAACTTGAACCAGAAACGATAAAAAAGACACAATGCTTTGTAAGAGTTAATTTTGTACACATAGCATTTGATTGTAACGAAGAACATTTTGTTGCAACTGATACAGCAGGATATTTATATTATATTGATCTAACAAATAGTTGCCCTTCCTACCAGAAATTAGGAAATGTTGGAAGAACAACTTTTATAGCATTCAATCCTATTAATAACTTTGAAATACTAATTGGCCTGACCACAAGCGACATAAAAATTTTAAGAGTAAATATAAATATTTCCCAGTGTTGTTTATTGATCGCTCACAAGTTACCACCTGTACACATTTCCTTTTTTAAACAATACTGTTTAACATCTTCGGATAAAGAAGTCATAATATGGTGTTTGCGTTCTTGCACCAAGGCTCAACAATTAAAAATTAATACAAAGAATATTATCTTAAAGAAAGCAAGTTTCTCAAACTTGGGACATGTTGTTGTGTTGTATAATAACGATACGTTACAAGCATGGAACTTTAATCAACTGGAAAATGATACTAAAATTGACACAAAAGTATATGGTATACGAAATATTAAAGATTTCCTTTTCACACAAAATGGAAGAGCAATGATCATAGCTAGTGCTCAAAATAAAATCATTATTCTAAATACATGTAACTGGAATTTAATGAAAACTTTGAATTTGCCAGAAAATTTTATTAACATGAAGCATTTGTCTCTTGTACCGCAACCTTTAGATGGCGGTGCAAATAATATAGTGGCATGTCTTTCTCCAAGTTGTACCCTTTTTTTCTTTGATTTGAATCGATCCTGTACATTTGAAACTTTGCATCTTATGAAGCCCATAAAAAAAATTGTAATTTCACCACTTGGTAGATACATAGCATACATCGAAAAAGAAGGACATTTAAAATTAGTAGTTACTGAAAAACTATTTTCGGAAAAGTGTGGACCTTTACAAAAATTAAAAGAACCATGTAGGCCAATCTCACACGGAATACATGATCATTTGTCATACGTTCAAGAAAACATAAAACAAGAATTACACTTAGACAGACTGATGCTTATTTTGAAAGAATTCGGAGAATACCCTGAGAACTATCGTTTACTAATATGGTCAACTATTTTGAAACTACCAGCTAATAAAAATGCGTATAATAATCTGGCTAATAAAGCTGTCAACTCCAATTTTGCAACTAAACTTTTAAAAAGCTATCCATTAGCTGACAGAAATAAAAAAATATTATTAACTACAACAATAAATTGTTTAATACAATGGTGTCCTTTATTGGTACAATGTTCATTTCTACCAAACTTAGTTTTTCCGTTTGTTATGGTATTTCAGGTAATATAACATAAATTATAGGTAGCATATCATATGAGGCTAAACTTTAGACCTTTTTGTAATAACTGCTTTACTTTTATTACAGAAAAATCTTCTAGTTAGTTTTGAACTTATATTGAGTGTGTTGCTAAATTTTTGTCAAAAATGGTTTGAATATCATCCTTTACCACCTTTAAATATACTTGGTATAATAGAAAATATACTTCTGTATACAAATCCATCTCTACTGAATATTTTTTGTGAACGAGGAATAACATCAAGTGAATATGCATGGCCACTTTTGAAAACTGCAATGAGCGAAGTTTTGTCTGGTTCTGAATGGATCATTTTATGGGATCATTTAATATCGTTTAAAAAACCTTCACTTTTGTTAATGACTGTTGTTGCATACAGTATTTGCTCTCATGAAATTATACTCTCTTCATTGCAAACACAAGAAAGCATTAAACGGTATTTTACTAGCCAAGGCCATATCGGAGCCAAGGAGTTAATAAAAGTTGCTCAGCAACTCGATAATGATATTCCATTAAGAATACATCCTAATTATTATATCAAGTAAAGCAGTTGTCATTATCACCTGTGTAAGATGATGTATCATTTATAAAATACTTCTTTTTTTTACAGGAACGAAATAGATATACTATCTTCCAAAGGACCATATCAATCATTTATGATACATGATTTCCCGAAATTTTTAACTGACGATCTTTCTGTCGCTGAATTAGAAAAATTAAAAGAAAAGGAGCGAATTTTTCAGGAGTGTAGTTGCAAAGAATTAAAAATTGCAGAAAAAAATAGACTAAAATATGAAACGAAAGTTTTCATGGATCAAATTCATAGAGCAAGATTAAGAGGTGAAAATATTTTGTCAAGAAAATAAGATAATACCTTTATTATTTGAATTAAAATTCATTTCTATTTTTTAGAAGCACAAAAATGTAACAGAGAGCAATTGTTAAGCATAGACTGGAAATCAATGAAATACCAAGCAATGGATACTTGTCTTTGCGATTGTTCACAAAATATTCTACATTTAGATTTATGTACCCCAGATAATCAAGGTATTACATACTCTAAAGATGACAAAACAGAACATTATCACCAGTTGCAACAAAACGTTGATAAATTAGAATATGAAGTACAAAGTCTTTTGGATTCACTAAGATCTCAGAAGACGAAGGTAAGCGCACCTATGTGCATCTAATATATTTTGTAGTTATCTTAAGCAAAATAGCAGTTTTTTGTTTAATAAAGATATTAATGAAAGCTACAATTCATATAAATTTATTATGCAATTTTTATATAATATTTACAATTTAAAAATATTACAAAATATCTGTGTAGACGAAATTATAAAACAATAAAATTTTGTATGTACATGTAAACTTGATAAAAATATTACTCTCTTTATTTAAATGCTTTACTTGAAGAATGTTAGTAGTATTGTACTGTAGTATTATTTAAATTTTTCATTTGGAATTATGCTTTCAATGTTTTTTGAAGGTAAAGGTTAATCATATTGAACAAATGAATGGACAGGAACGTCAACCTTAGCCCTTCCATTTAAATTAGTTAGTTCAATTATTACTAAACATTCAATTACTTCAGCTTCAGCTGATTTTACCAATTTTATCGCAGCTTCCATGGAACCTACCATTAGTTTTGTCAGAATTAATTTCTTCGTATTTCATGTATATAAGCTTGTATACATTTTATTATTAGTATCTTACCTCCTGTTGCTAATAGGTCATCTACAATGAGCACTCGTGTTCCTTTATTTATATATTCTTCTTGTATTTCAAGGGTATCCTACATAAACAGTGTTTTTTAATAACATCAAGAGCAATATTGATGATATAATATTATAAAATAAAATTGTTTATATACCTCCCCATATTCAAGGGTAAAGGCTTGTTGTAAAACCTTTCCTGGGAGCTTTCCTTTCTTTCTAATTGGTAAGAAAGGCTTACCCATTTCCATGCATATAATAGGTCCAAAAAGAAAACCTCTGGAATCAAGACCTATAACCAAGTCAACTTCAAGAAATAGAATATGCTCTACTATTAAATCTCTCATTGCTCTTATTGCTGCTGTATCACGAAATACGCCAAATATGTCTCTGAAAGTATAAAAGCATTTTACTTTTGAACCAATATTGGTTACATTGATTAAACAATTGATAAAAACTATTTAAATAAAATAAAACAGATATGTATATTATTTACCTAAATATGATACCAGGTTTAGGGAAATCGGGATAACTTTTAATTGCATTTCGTAACAATTCAATCTTTTCGTTTTTATTCATCATCGACGATCAATGGCTCAAATTATTAAACGTGTATTTATTTTATTAATATACCACCCAGACATGTAAAATACGAAATATTTAACCTAATAGCTATTAGCCTCATCGCATTCGCCTCAATGCAGCCAACAGACGATCATTCAACGCACATATTATTTTACACTAGGCGATTTTGGGTACTGATTGCAGCCCGGTTCTTACTATTCGTTTGTTTAGTTTGAACATTATTCATATCTTTCTTTCCTGGACTTTATTCATTCTTTCATCTTTTTCTATTTCATAACGTGGAACTTAATTTCGGCCAACTCTTCTTCTTAACTAAAAGTATCCATAGTACATATAAAAAAAACTGTATAAATGTAAATGCAAATTATGTACAATTACAATTACTTAATAAAATTTAACAGATTTCATTTCAAAATCGTTTATTTCCTTCATTATTATATCATTTATTAGTGACGATTTATTAATCGCTAATTAAGAAATTACAGAAATTCTACAATTTATTACAAACGTCTTTACTTAATGTACTGTTTTATGCATAAAATAAATATTTGAGCCAAACTCAAATATTTAATAAATTGTGAGACGTGCATTTGAAGAATTACCCCCATTAAAAATCACAGAACCAACAATTATTGCAGTATGATAATCTTTGTAAATAAAAACTGGCAAGCTTTAAATCTTACTATTATCTTTTTAGCGTTTATATTTATCAATACCTTACAAGCTCTACAATAATTTTATTTATATACACAGTATATATTTTTCTCGTTGTTTTCTCTTATAACCACAAAACCAATTTATTATATAACAATATCTAAATATCATAAGATGATATTTAGTAAATTAAAATAATCTATAAACAGATTAATTGTAAGTTTATTTTATGTACTCTGAGGTAGTCTCAATGAATTAAAGCAATGCTTAAAACTATTATCAGTACACGATTAGTAGCAAGAATGTTTGTAAAAATGCTATTCATGCATACTCATACATAGTGTTAAACGTTACTGTATACAAGACTTCTGCTATAGTTGAAAAATTTACAAAATTTGTTGAAAATTATGTCTGTTCCAAAAATCTCATTTCTTATTTAATTGATAATAGCATTACCACTGGTTCAGACATTCCTAATTTTACACACTGGAAGAGACCACCTCGTATAGTTTAATGTCACATTTTAAAAATAACCAACAAAGAAAAATAATTAATTTGATAACGAAACCAAGCGAAGTAAATTAGTACTTAGATAAATTAAATAACATTTGGCTGATCGGGAATAAGAGAAGCAAAAAAGGTACTGAAAAATGTCCAAGTGAATGCAAGTGCACCAGGTCTCTCTTCTTCATTGTCTTCTTCTGCGTTTGTTCTTGCTTCGGTTTGTACAGTTGGTACCTGACCATTTGGTTGTTGAGGCACAAGTTGAGGGCCTATTGCTTCATTTTGTAACACCTGATTATTATTATCTCTTCTGTCTGCTCTACCATTGTTATTCTCAGCTAAGAGAATAGGTTGTACTCTGAAGAAACCACCTTGATATCTGTAAAATATACATTTGTTACGTATGTGTCCACTCTGTTAACACAAAATGTATAAATGTATGAACTTACAAATACATTGCAAATCCAAGAAATGTAACAATAAGAAATCTTAATGGAGAGGAATAAAAGTATACTATACTGAAGAGAACAATAATTCTTGACAACATGTAAAAAAAATCTAGCCAATCTCTATTAAAAGCACCATCTTCTCCAGCACCGTTATTTCCAGCATTAATATCAGCTTCTTGAGCAGCTGGTTGTTGCTGTTCATCGCCTACATTGTTGGCATTATTTATATTATTTGTGTATGAAGTTTGAACACTATCGTTTGTATTGATGTTCATTTGTTGAACATAGGGAATGCTGGTTTGTAATTGTATTCCTTGTGCCGCCATGCTATAACAAAATATTATATTTTATTATACATATTTCAAATTTCTTTTTCGAGTTTAATAAGTTACGAGTATTATTTACAATTGCATATACTGGGTAAAATAATGGGTATACGCTTGTTGCATCCAAGCCACTTGTTGACTATTCCTCGGATCAAAATATTGTTGTGCAGAATATAATTGCGTAGGCGCATGTTGCATGGAAATATTATTCATATTTTGACTCTGATTTTGTACATTATTTGGGTCATTTAATCTCATATGTTCAATAGTACTTCTTGCAGTAGGAATTGCATTTGTATTTTCCATAACTTGTTCCATCTTATTCACTGATGGTTTTTGCGAAGCACAAACTAAATGAACTATGTAAGTTTGATCTTCTTGCCCATCACATTGTCTTAAGACATCTTTCAAACATACAGAATCACTTAATAATTGTCCTGAATATATCAGTTTCTGACTTGCTCGTTCCTAAAAAATGCAAAACAACAATTAATGCAATATGTCTTTTTTAATTTGCAATTATCGTGTGGACTATTATTTTTATTGCCTTTAAATACTGATATATTGACATAATTCTATAACCGTGTATTAAATTTCGCGAAATAATAAAAATAATACAGATTTGTTATTAATAATATACTGCTTTCGCGAAGGATCTACAGACTATAGCTTTCACATAATTTCACATAATTGGATTCATGATAAGAACAATAAAACTCACGGGTTTACTAGGATAAACTTCGGCCAAATGTTCTTTTAATTGACCAACAGTCCACCCAATATCACAGTTCACAATTTGATCTTTAATTTGCTGATTCGGTACTTTTATCATTACTTTAACGGCAGTTCCTTCCATTGTTATCAATTTTGTTATTTTATATGTTTCGTTTGATCAGCTGTTTCTACGATTAGTATTAATTAACAGTGCCACCGAGGCAACCTGATACTTTCACGCTCTTAAAATTTATACGATGGTACTGTCTTACTTATCAAATTAGCTTGCCGTTTTGTACAAACTTTGTTGTATTATTTATTTGCATGCTAATTATACACATTCGTTGCTAGACAAATACGACTGGATTAAACTATACAACACGAACGAATATTTAATCGCTTGTATATTTTTCTGTCATTAAATGGAATCATGTATTTGGCGACTTGTCATTGGTTGTAGATTACAATTCATCTATATTTAAATAAAATCTGATCTCCATGTAGACTTCTTTGCTCTGTCTTACATTATGTCGATATCATAATGCATAACGTACGCAGAAGCATTTATTTCAAACTCGTCCAAATTTGATTACTCTTTTGTTTATGGTTTGCACCGCTAATCATTAAGAAACTAAAGTCGTCGATTAATAAAGATTTTTAAATACCGATTAACTAATTTCTTTCTTTTCTATATAAATATATAATGACATACGAAACGAAAATATATATATATACTAGATAACAACGAATCAAAACTGTGCAGCGGTTTAGGGTGACCTCGTCGCGTCACTCCGTAATAGGTTTTTCCATCAAAAGTATACTTATGTCCCTATATTTTTAGGTTCATGTGTTTAGTTTACTTTATTTTACTTTGATAGTAATACAGTTGGTAGTCGTTGTTTATGCGACGATGTTGAAATATTCCGTTTGAATTTGAATAGGTTCTAAATAATTGTAATACAATAAAAATGTAAGCGTTTCTTTACTCGTTTTGTTGTGTTTTTCCTTAATTAGAGGCTTTTTTCATTTAATTTTAATTTAAAACTTACTATACATGAGTATTAAACAACATTTAACATTCGATAATATCGTGTACAATTACTTTTTGTGCAAGTAATATATGTAAAATATACCCAATGCTATACGAAGCATTAATATATTTGACATGTGTCTTTTTAAACGAATTTGTTGCGATTCAAACATTATTTTTTTGTAGGTCTCCTTCCAGATCTAGAAGAAACAGTTCAAGACGTTCTTCCGTAAGTACATTAAACTTTTCATACAATATATATTTAATAGTAATTAAATATTGTTATTAACACTTTTTTTTAATGTATGTAGATTCTTAAGCCTTCTAAGCCACGTCAAGCTCTACAAAATTTAAACATCAATAGTTCATCCAGTGAAAACAGTCCAGCTACTACATCAAAATTTAAACGACGAGTTAGTTTTGCAGAAAAAAAGCATGTTAAGTGAGTCATTTAGTTTTTCTGGTATATGATTTTTGTGAATCCTACAATATAGTTCAGCTGTTTATATATTGTATAAAATTCTGTGTGCAGAGAATTTTGTAACTCCGTGGAGCAAGGAACCGTATGGGATACTACATACGAAGAACATGATTTAAGTAATTTAAAAATTCCAGGTACTTTTAATCAAGAAGAACATAATGTTCACATTGCTCATAAAGAAAATATTGTTGTCTGCAATGAAGAAAATAACATGCAAGTTACATATAAGGAAATGATTGAAGAAGATTTAAGTACAAAAGATAGCGATTTACGTTGTATAAATATAACTGATGGCATAAAAAGTAATGATCCGTTATTAAGTCAAATCAAGATTAATTTACAGTTGGAAAATGATAATGACATTTTTAAAACTACCATTTCATGTAGAAATTCTAAAGAAAACTTATCCGATAAGATTTCAGAAATTTCACGATTAAATTTGAATAACATTGATTCTAATAATTTAGACACAATATCTGTTCAGGATGTGCCAATGGATTTTACTGAAATCGTTTGCCATGCTATGTATTATGACATAAATTATGTTCAAAACAATAAGTTAGAAAAACCACTTCAAAACATGTCTATGGAATTAACACAACCTATCTCTTCATGCGTAAATATGTTACAAAATTCTCAACAAGAACAAAATATCGGAGAACTTAATTGTGTATCTCAATTGGATAAATCCGAAGCAATAGCTGATCAATGTACGTCAATGGAAACGACTGTTGCAGTACCATCTACTATCATTACTAATACTACTGATCGAGTAAATTTGTCAATATATTCTCCAAATGACAAGATTAAAAGATTTAATAATATTTCAATGGAAATAACTACACCAGTACCATCTGTACTATCTACAATAGAGCAGTCAGCAACTAATAATGAATCAGAAACCTGTGGTTCAGGATTAATGGCATATATCAATAATAAAACTACCATTTTTCATGATACTTCAATGGAAATTACTAATGTTGTGAAAACAAAAACTAATAAGTACTTGGATTGTCAGCTCGACGAACGTGATAGATTAACAGCAACAGAAGAAACAAACTCTCAGTGTGATAACGAAAAAACCATATTGTCAAATATATCTATAGAAATGACTGCAACAGTTCCAGCTAATATACATTCCATAACTGAAAGTCAAGAAAAAAAAGAAGCAAATTGTAACGTTACAAATGTTTTTATAGGTAATAACTTTCAAAACGTAATGTTTGATGTAGATGGTTGTAAACCATCAGTTGATCTTGATAAAACCAAAATATGTGATAATGAATTAATGGAATTTACTGAAGGTATAACAATTTGGCCTAAAAGCAATTTAGCAAATAATGAACCGATTCAAAATAGTTTTCCTAATCAATGGAACAATGATGGTGAGGATGAGAACATAAACCTAATATTAAATAATTCGCAAAAAGTAAAGTCCGACATAGATTACTATAAAGAACCAATTAGTGCCAATCAAACCAAGGTATATGATAATGAAGCAATGGAATTTACCGAAGCTATAACAGTTTCACCTAAAACGAATTTAATAAATAGCAAACTTGTACAAAATAGTAGTCCCAGCCAATGGAACAATAATAATAAAGATAATGATATAAACTCAACATCAAATAATATTACCATTTGTCAAAATAATTTAATGACATCTGCAAAGATGGTATCACCATCTGGTATAAAAGATAATTTTGAAAAAGTAACTGATGATTATGAATCAAATAGTAATAATCAAGATACAATTAAAACATCATCCTGTTCAAATATGTCAATGGAAATTACAGAAGCCGTAATGGCATTGCAGTGTCATCTTCCAACAGAGAATCCTTTTATAAATGGTACTTATATTACAGAATCAACATTGATTGAAAATGTCGAAAACAAAGATAAACATTCTATAAATTCTACTGCACCAAATGATGATGTTTTAAAAGATCTGGTAGTTTCATCTTCTTTAAACTCAGGTTCAATTTTAAACAAAGAAACGCATATAACAGATAACTTTTCACAATGTTTTGGAAAAATGACTGCAGAAATACCTGTTTCAACAGAGACTGAAAATTTTGTAAATGTAACTAATATGGCTTTGCTCGAATCGATGCAAGCAGACGTTGATGTTTCGACTTCAAAAATCATTAATACACCTAATGTCGATTTGATTGAATCCGGGAAACAGAATACGGATGTATCGTCGAAAGAAAATATTCGAGAAAAAACTTATACTCTAACTCCTGTATTAAATGAACCTTCTAGTATCGTAATATCAGAGATAAGTCAGAATGAACTTTCATCGCATAAACAGTTACAAAATGTTATATCAAATCCAAGACGAACGTATGTTATTCAGCCATTAAATACTATTGATCACTATTGTAATAAAGATGATAGTGAAACAACTAATAATATCAATAATGAGATAAAGAATGATAGTTTTTGTTACACATCAAATGATAGCAGAAATTGTGCACATAGTAGTTTGAATGGCATAGAAAGTCTGAAAGACTTTCAAAATAATGAAGTAGACCATTTAACAGAGCAAGACGTTATATTTTTCAGTAATACCGTGGAAGAACTAAACACAATTACACCACCATCATTTGTTTGTATGAATGATTCGTTAGATTTAAATACGTCGGTAGATACGTGTAAAGAAGCAAATTCTGATTCAGATAAAATTAAAATTTCACAGACAATCGAACTAGAAAATATTTCAAAAAATAAATATAGTTTGGAAGATGTTAGCGATTTTCATGAAAACATTTTGAAAGCGGATCAAGTACCCACTGTACAAATAGAGAAAGTAAATGAAAATTGTTTAAACGATGATTTAAGATCAAGTTTAAAATCCCATGATTGTTTGGAAAAGAGCGCCATAACTACCGAATTCGATCCTTTTTCTTCGCTAATGAATAAATTGAGAATTTGTGCTGAAAGGTATTCGAAACCAAAATTCTTGATTAACATCTTAATATTTATATTTTGCATTCAATAATGTACACAATGTATTTTTTAGCGATAAGATTATTTGGGAAGTCTATCATGAAAATATTGAGAAGAACCTGTTTGTAATTGGTTTCATATCTTCTTCCTTGTTAGTAATAATATATTTAAAAGATCACTGTGATGCTATAAGTGATCAGCCGATTAAAGAAATTAAAATATGTTCTCGCCTAAGAGGTGCGTATAAAAAGAAGAATCAATGCAAGAATACCAATTATTGTTAATTTATCTGACAGTACTTTTTTGTTAGACGACGCTGACGCCTTAATAAGCATGGTTCATCGGGTAATCTTAGAAAAGTTAGACACCCAAGTGTTGATAGATTTATGCGAAAATTCTGAAGATATTTTTTCATTGTTAAATTACATTTCAAAAGAAGTAAAATTAGCTATGGACTTCATGTTCGACGTGGAACGTATGAGAGATGTAACTCTGATGGAAATAACTGGTGACAGGTAATGTATTATTAAAATAAAGTTACCGATTCTTATATTAAAATAAGTTTCATACATGTTTCTTTTTATTTCAGCATATCTTTTATAGCATTTGGGAAAAAGAAAGATATTATACTGAGGGTGACGGTAGATATAAAACCATTTGATAAAATCGAATCAAAAGATATTTCTATTTATTGTAAATTAGGTTCAGTGAGGTCAGTTCTAGATTCATTGTCGATGACCGTTATAAAAAGTGCTTTTACCGTAACTTTATCGTTTTATAGGGAAGAAGACGTTAAACGACTAATAAAAAATATAAAACGGGACCACAAATTTTTACGAAGATTCATAAACGACGTGAACGATTATATATACTTGATGGAAGAGTCTGTTAACATAATTAAAAGATGATGTTAAAGTATCATAGTGACTGGTATAAAAATATCGTTGTCAACGTACTTCGCTAACACGTAACGTAATTTTATTATCCCTTACTAATTTTATACACGAGTGCAATGTATAGACATAAAAATATTTTTTTCTACCGTCGTTTAAAAAAATACTCGAGGTAGAAAAATAAAAATGAGATTGTGGATTGATTTCCGCGTAAAATTTTTCGGTGAAATTTTTCTGTTTCTTTACAGACCGAACGTAATAATCGTGGGTGGTACACGAATGTCTCTTTCTTATTTGAACATCAGCACTGTAAAGCTGCACAAATGTTAAGTTACGAGTAAAGGTCGATCAACTAGTTCTCCGATACAGCCGGTTCAGTCGATACAGCTTTTTGTGCAAACATTTGTAGTTGTGATAGCATCGCGTGAACAGTCGGCTTTCTCAGAATCGTATGACTTTCCGTCTTATTTTCCAGCGTGTTCATCGTCGGTAATTGCAGTAACGATATTGTTATTTGTAAGATTCTATTAGTTGATCGTATAATTAAAATCGTACGCACAGTTTGGATCGATTAAATTTGAATGAAATTTGAATTGCATGTTGTCACGGTCTATAGTCTATAAGAATCACGAGATTCGATCGTGGTCATTCTGGTTGAATAAAAGTTTGTTTACGCTATATATGCCAAATAATGTTTTTTTTAGCAAGGATGGTGGTACGTTAAAACGTAGTTATAGAGAATGCCGAGCAACGCGGAGGACTGGAATTCACGAAACTTCCGGTAGTTGTACAGAGAAATTGCTGGAGCATGGAGAAAAAAAAACATTGACTGAACATGTGACACTGTTTACGGTGACGAAATATTATCGTAATGATTTTATTGCAACACAAAGTACGACAGTATACTTCAGAAACGTAGTTGAGAATATTTTTCTTACCAAATGATACAAACTTCTCTTTAATTCAGTACGAGCGAATCGTCTGCAAGTAAACGCTTGCAAGATGTATGTATGTTCTATCGTTAATAATGTAAGAGAATTTAGATACTACTCAATCTCGCGAACCATCGGAGAACAGTATAAGTACATGGTTCGTTGAAAAAGTTCAACTTTCTTTCACCGTAGTGACATTAGTTCCAGTTACGTGGGCGTAAAGGCCCGGTTTTACACGATTTCGTAACAGCTACAGACCGATTTCCACTGGTATCAAAAACCATTTCATGAAGATCCCGAAGACCTTCGAGCCTCTCTCTTTCTCTTTTTCTCCTCCTCTTTATCGACTCTTCGGAACGCCCTTACGTACTTACAATACAGACGAAAGTCTGGTCACATGCAAAGATCGCTTGTGAAATTGCTGGTGGTTATGCTAAATAAGAATAAGGATCGAATCGTACCTTGACAATGGACAATAAATACAACAATACCCTCAACTTATTACGTATTAGGATCTGGTAAGACGCATGCGGTAATGAAAATTCTTTTTAACCATTGACGTCGTAGCGTCGAAGATCGAAATTTAACAGTAACTGGCGATCTCGCTGAAAATTCGAGTGAACAATGATGAATCGCGCGGTGAATTTGAAAATGTGGCATTGCGGTGTGTTTGTATTCGCAAAGGAACGACGGATCGGAAATATTCCAGATGATCGTGGATAAGATGGATAAGTTGGAGGATGAACGTCGACGAAGCAGACGAACAACCTGTAACGATGACGGTGTGGCACGATACGGCGTTGGTTCGACGATACCTGCTCAGGGCTACGAGAACGATAGCAGGCGGATAGCAGGCGGATAGCAGCAGGAGTAACAGTGGCAGCGACGCAAGTGGGCGTAAGGGCTGGGAGAGAGAACGTCGTCCCGTGTTCCATACATGGTTATGCTATGTGGAAACTGAGAGACACAGAGAGACGGACGCACCGGCGGAGTCCCCACCGTGTGGACACAGCGGAGGCGACGTTTTCTCGGCACGAATACCCACCGCATGCTTCGTGCACAGTATGTGCTAGCATCACGTCGTCGTACGATCGTTCTTCTTTGCGTTTACGATAATATACATATATAGTCGATAATACGGACTTGATCGCAAAATCCTCTGACAAACGGGACGCGAATCGAGGGTGACAACAGGCCAAACGTAACGTTAACCCGCACGAAAGATGCACCCGCGAACACTTCACTGGCGCGAGGGTTACCGTTTCGTTCATTTAGCTTAGTTTGAATTCGGACGTGCGATTTCGAGTTTCAAGCGTCCGCGCCTATGGTCGAGTGACAATTCTCTCGGTTTAGCAAGCGTGCTATTGGTCCGCTTGCGCTTAGTCTCTACGGTGTAGACGCGCGTGTGTGGTGCCTGTATGCGAGCAGGCAACGTGGGTTGGATGCGTGAGTGGCCGTGTCGCGCTTGCGTGAGTGCTACGAGGTACTAGCCACGTGTGCGTTCGCCACGCGCGAAGAGAAGCCGCGGGGCCCACAAAACCCGGACCACCGAGACACGCACACCGTTGTAGGTATGTGTCGTGCATGCGTACCCTTTACACTTACACTTTGCATAGCAGGATTAAACCTTTGTCGCCTCGTGCCCGGAACCAACTTTCAGGATCGTACGACGCCAAATAATTTGTACTTTACTACGGCGGGAACGTTCCGAACTTGCGTTCTACTAGTTTTCGATGTTTCACGTAATGCCTTAACCGCTCGTCTCATCGATTATTTATTAACAGAAATTTTGGAATCGTTGCGAACAGTATAGGATTAAAAATTAAAATACGTTTCTTAGGTTTCGATGCGTGAACGCGTTTATCGATACATTTACCGCGAGTGTTGTTCACTCGTGTCTCGATATTGGTCTGTTTAATCAGTGATCGTTGGACTTAATATAAGCAATTTTTTCTTCCAATGATATTCCTCGCTATATCTGTCTTCTGTTTTTCGATGATCGTTTTTAGCGTCTCACGAAGACGAAAACCAGTTTCACGTCCGGACACGGACGTTGGCGAATCGCGATACGAAAGAAAGAAAGAAAGAAAGAAGGAATCGCTCAATCGATGATCGTGGTTCTACCAAAGACGTTTCTCCCGGAAAGGTCACTGTCTTTGAACAGGCATCGCGCACCAAATACGTTCGTGGTCCTTCGTTTTCCTGTCAATTTATTTCAAGTTTCCGATTTTCTCGGCATGTTGAACGATCGACGAGTTTCCTGATCGCGAGGCAAGGACTCGTTAAAAACACCGCAGCCTTGTCTCTCGATGCAGCTACATCCCACGTTTTACCTAGCAAGTTCCTGTCGTTTCCATTCTCTTCGTTCCAGCGAAGGGTGGCTCGCAGGATGGAAAATGTTTCCGCAATCTGCTTTGAGAGACGTTTTCTCTCGAACCGTTCATGAACAATAATTTCGAGGAAAGTAAACGCAATCTTCGACGAATATCGATATAAGACAAATATGTTTGTCATTTTACCAATCTCCATCATTTACGAGCTTTTTTCTGTTTCGCGAGGCGCTCGCGTTCCTCTTTCTCTTTCGCCAACATCTTCATCCTCATTCTTCCAAGCGGAGTTCGATTTTCGAAATTCCTTAACTGTTTCAACGTCTTTGCTGGAGGAGACTCGTACTTGAACACTTCCTCCATAATCTCTTGCTGGTTCAACGGTTTGAATTTCAAGGTGATCCTACGTCGAAGGTTTAGGACATTCTCCACCGCGTTTCTTATGAACTCCAATGGAATGCTCACGGACATCTTCGCCAGACAAGAGACATCGATATTGCGATCGATTCCGTGGTACTTCATCAGCAGATCTTTGTAAAACATGTAAAGCGTGTTGTAGTCCGTGAGAGGAATCATTATGAACTTGTCGTGGATCCTGACAAAGGGTCTTGTTGCTTTATATGGCTCCGAGGAGGTCGTGAGAAATAGGATCTGAAAAGTATCACGTCCCGATGGATCGAACAAATAACAACAATCCCGCGATAAGTATTTTTCTAGGTAGTATTGTTCTAGGTCTATGGTAACATCGTGTAATACGAAATTCTCTCGAAATAGCCTTTTTTAAGCTCTAGACCTCCCCTAAATTCTACAGTAGGTACTCCGTAGGTGCACCGTATCGTGCAATTATTTTTGCGAGATCAGCATAGTTTCTGTTATTCTTCGATTCGAACGTTTGTTTCGTTGTTTCTACGTATTCTACGCCAATGAGTAACAGTAACTGTCCAGGATTACCGACACACTAAATCCTACGTTAACTCGTTACCACCTACGTACTCGGTTCGTTCGGTAGGAGGTGTTTCATTGATGACCAGCTTCGAACGATCGAGACGCGTTTGGGAAAGAGAACAGGAGAGGTGCGACGGCTTATCGAGGTGGTTCATTCATATCGGAGAAAGAGTCGAAACAGGAATATCGAGAATTTCATAAAGTAGGGGGGGGGTTACCGGATCACCGACTTTAACGCTCCTTGCCAGTTTAGGAAAAGCGTTGCCGCTACACGAGCTCATTCAATTGCGACACCAGCCACCATTTTTATTATTCTTCTCGACTCGAATAACCAGCAGTGAAACGCGGAAAACCGATACAGCACCGACGAAAAACTCCTACACACGATATAGAGATAATTTTGCGTAGTACGTATTACCTGATCACCGCGTTTGATACTTTTCACTAGTTTGGTGTAGTGTCGCGCGAATCGTTTTGGCTGATACTGTCTCTCTTCGGGGGGTACCTTCTTCAACCAAGGCTTTTCACCGTTGTCGATGAAAATTATCGAAGGAGCATATTCTCTGGCGACTTTCGAGATCATGTTCATCAATTTTCGTTCGTTTTTGCGTCCTACATATTTGCCTACCAATACGTTTGGTGTCATATCGAATAACAGTGCTCCAACCTATTCCGGCAGCGAGTAATAATTATGAAGAAACGCGAAGAGACGTGTAGAAATTTGATAAAATTTGATGATTTTGGTAGAAATACCTCGGAACAGACTGCATTCACCAGAAAACTCTTGCCATGTCGTGGAAGGCCACAAATACAAACGGCTCGTATCAGGGGTGCGATTTGATGGACTTCCTTCGAGCTCAGAGGAATTATACAATAATCCATAACTATCTGTTTGACTTCACCCATTCGATAATTGTAATCGCGAAATTCTCGATCTGCTTCGTAATTTTGGTAGGAAAGATCCCCTATCCAATCCTTCAGTGATGTTACGGGGTAGTTTCTGATTATATTAGCTTTCACTAATTCGTTAAAAATATCTTGCACAGGGACGTCGTCCAATGCGCCTTTCTTTTTTCTTCTTCCTTTCTTTCCTTTGGTTTTTTTACCTAGATCGCGCGTTCAAATTAACGAATTGAAATTAACGAGAATTATCGAAGCTAATTCCAGCACGCCCACCGTCACGACCGTGTATAGTGCATAACGATCGCGTTAATTAACGAGCGATTAACTGTATAATTAATGGCTCGTTGTCGCGTTAAAGCGAAACAGAAGTCTTACTTTTATCTTTAGGTATGTTGAGCTCTCTTTTATCGGCTTTGTAATCCCTTGTCAACGCTGTATTCAATTTCTCCAGTTCCAGTCTCATCAGTTCATCGACTATTCTCCGCATCTCCAATTGCAATTCGTAGCAAAGTTGATCCTTGATCAGATCCTCGTATACCTTCTCCCGAGGATCCGAGTTCGAGCGATCGCGAAAGCTCCAGTTCTTAACGAAATCCTGATTAGTATCATCGAGTAACGTGGCCGCTTTCGTTTCGGCTATCCACGGTAAGAACTTTTTTTTCTTTTTCGTGCCAGAGTCTTTAGCCGCTTTGCCTGCTGCTGCCGCTTTATGCCTCTGCACCAGATACTCTTCGGGTGTTAAAGTTTGCCCGGTGACTATTAGAACGCTACCCCCTAAGCGCGCGGCTGGATACGCGTCGTAATGTCCAACTCTGTCGTACCAAATGATGAACCATTCTCGAATCTCGTCGGTGATGTCCTCCATTAAACCTGGTCCTCTGATCTTCCACAGCTTGTGAAATATAGGTTCGTTCGCAACGTTAGATTACCACGCGCTAAACTATCACGCGTTGGTTCACCGCGCGCAGGATCGTCACACGTTAGATTACCGCGCGATGGATTAGCACGCGCAGAATCATTACGCGTAATATCACCGTGCATAGGATCACCAAGCGTTATTATACCAATTACTATTAACAAGTTTTGAACGTTTCTTATTAAATTACTCTAGCTCGTGTGTCGTCTGTCATTTTCGATACTCGAACAACGGACAGTGGCATCGATTCTAATCTCTTTTGAAAATTCTCCTCGTCCTTCGCCAAAATTTCTCGGGATTTCCAGCTAGGTATCGTCATGTCCAGCAGCTCTTCGATACGATCCCTTCGTTTTTTCATTTTTTTCTTCGCCAGATAGCTTCTCCATGCTCGCTGTATCGTTCTAGCAGCGGTTACAAACGTAACTCTGCTCATCTTCTTCGGTACTATTTGTCCCGCTTGTATTTTCTTGTTGTAGTTGTAGATTCGTTGCGCTAGAACGTTAATACGGATGGAAAAATTCCTACCTATACTTTACTTATTTCGTTTCTTTAACGAATTCGAACCTTCGATCCCGGCGCACCGACCCCTCCTTGCCCTTTCGTGAGACTGTAAAAGTAGTATCGCATCTCGCCTAGTATTTTCCTCGGCGATTTCAGCTTCTCGAGCCCTCATCGTCTCCGAAGGTACTCGAAGGACCGATGCCGATTTAGATTCCGTGCTTTTCTCTCGAATTTTTCTTCTTCGCAATCTCGGCATACTTTCTTCGGATTCGGCGATGCTTTCGATTTCACTGACGATCGCCTTTAAGCTCTCGGCCTCTTCTTTTACTTTCGTTCAAGAGATCAAATTTACTAGTTCGATTCGTTCGCGTTTACGTATTATACGTAGAACCTATATAACATTATATGTATAGAAAAAACTCTTCGAGTAAATTACCCTTCAGAGCATCCTCTATCAATTCTTCGATGTATTTCCTACGGTGGCAAAGAACGTCTTTGCCAGTCGCTGAAACCGACAGATCCAGATCATCGGTAGTGTATTTCAGCTGTTTCATCGAATCATCGGGCCATCTGTACAGTTAAATAAACAGACTACGAGTTTAGGTAGACTAAAATAAAATGAAATTTTTCTTTCGTTCATCGAAGGAAAATTTAATGTTAAACGTACAGGTAATCCGAATAATTTAATTTAACAATTTCCCGCTTGTATTCGAGCATTCGACCGATGGAACAATCCAGGACACGTTTTATCAGATCTCGTTTCTGCGATTGTACCATTTGGTCGTGACAAACTATCAGTCTCTTCACCAGGTTACGATACCTGAACAAGTAGTTTATTAAGTAATTTCAAATGCGAAGAATAGCCTTAACGACACACGACGATTGTACCTGAGATACGTTGGAACCAGTAAATTTAAACCCTGTTCTTTTCTTTCCGTCCTTCTTTGCTGTCGTAACCTTTGATCGAGCTCCAGGAGTTTCTCCAAATCGTTTCTCGCGATAAGCCATAGTTCGCTGTAATAAGCATACGACATTGGTTCATTAACGATAACTAATTATTATATGGAGTGGCTGGCCATTTATGCATATGGATATGGAACTAGATAATTTTGAAACGACTGGAAAATTTGGAGTTTGGTTAACTGAAAAATGGATACCAACGTTAAACTGACAAAATTCAGTCGATTACCTGTTGCACCTGTTGTTGCACGGATGCTTCTATTTATTTCCTTATCAATATTCATGTGTACGCAAATCGAGCTTGAATAAAGCTGCCAAATTCTTTGTAAACTCATTGTTCGTATTATATTATATTATCGACATTTCGTATACCGAAAAATTTCGGTATTTGCCAATGAACATATGTATATCGATCATCCGAATGCGCCTTTAAAAAATGCGAATTTCAGGATGCTGTGGAAGTCCGGATGTTCGTTGATCCTGTTATTAACAACGATTGCGTCTTTGGACGCGACAATAGACGATTTTGTGGAAGATGGAACGACGGCAACGATGTTCGCTAACTCTTCCGTGTCGTCGTTCACGACGATGTCCAGCTCGGATAGAAGAGAGAAGACGACGACGACGACGACGACGACGACGACGACGACGACGACGACGACGACGACGACGACGACGACGACGACGACGACGACGACGACGACGACGACGACGACGACGACGACGACGACGACGACGACGACGACGACGACGACGACGACGACGACGACGACGACGACGACGACGACGACGACGACGACGACGACGACGACGACGACGACGACGACGACGACGACGACGACGACGACGACGACGACGACGACGACGACGACGACGACGACGACGACGACGACGACGACGACGACGACGACGACGACGACGACGACGACGACGACGACGACGACGACGACGACGACGACGACGACGACGACGACGACGACGACGACGACGACGACGACGACGACGACGACGACGACGACGACGACGACGACGACGACGACGACGACGACGACGACGACGACGACGACGACGACGACGACGACGACGACGACGACGACGACGACGACGACGACGACGACGACGACGACGACGACGACGACGACGACGACGACGACGACGACGACGACGACGACGACGACGACGACGACGACGACGACGACGACGACGACGACGACGACGACGACGACGACGACGACGACGACGACGACGACGACGACGACGACGACGACGACGACGACGACGACGACGACGACGACGACGACGACGACGACGACGACGACGACGACGACGACGACGACGACGACGACGACGACGACGACGACGACGACGACGACGACGACGACGACGACGACGACGACGACGACGACGACGACGACGACGACGACGACGACGACGACGACGACGACGACGACGACGACGACGACGACGACGACGACGACGACGACGACGACGACGACGACGACGACGACGACGACGACGACGACGACGACGACGACGACGACGACGACGACGACGACGACGACGACGACGACGACGACGACGACGACGACGACGACGACGACGACGACGACGACGACGACGACGACGACGACGACGACGACGACGACGACGACGACGACGACGACGACGAGTTCGTCGAACGTCGTAACAATTCCGGACGAAGAAACTATTCAAGACTCGTCCCACGCATCCTCGCCTTCGTCTGACACCGTTTGGGAGTGTCCAAATATTACAAAAGCAGGCGTCGAGTGCTCTTGCGACTTTCCACACACGTTAAGATGCACCGGTGATAGAACCGCATTGCAGGTAATCTTGCTATACGAAATATGTTTTCCTTTTAAATATCTATTTAAAACGAGTTAATACTCTCCGAAAAGACTACCGAAAAGGCTACCAAGAAGAAAGAAGCTCTCGTGCGACGATTAAGTTTCATTAAACTTATCTAAGCGTTATCATTTTGCTACGTTATCTAGATCAGCGATTTTTTAACCACCCGCCAAGAAACGTGGGCGTATAGACTGCCAATGAAATACAAGTCGTGTGTATTGTCGAAGAGAGCATTGTACGGCCTCTCTTTCTTCTGTCTTCTACAGGCTCGTTGCTTCGTCTCGAATGTCCCGTTACCAGTTACTTCGACGAATATTCTATCTTACATATCGTCGCGAATCGAATGGCTTTCATTATGCAATTCGAAATTGCTAATTATCTGTTATCCGACAGATTAATAGTAACGCATCGTACCTACATATTTCTCTACAGACTATTAGCAGACATCTGAGATTCAGTCGTCCAGGAACAATATCTCTTCTGGATGTAACCGTGACGGGGATCTCTCTATTACCGGCTCGTTTTCTTGAAAATATTGCCCTCCATGGACTAGTGGTTTCCACCGGAGAGCTGATACGTGTTCACGAGAATGCCTTCATCGGTCTAATAAGACCCCTTCAAGCGCTTGGACTTCCGAACAATCTTTTGGATTCCGTTCCTACGGCTGCTTTGTCGCATCTGAGCGGATTAGAAAAATTGGACCTATCTCAGAATAAATTGAAAATGTTAGAAGCTGACTCGTTCAAGGTACTCGTTGGAACGATAAACAGAATAGTTCATTCTAATAGTTAATTAAGAACCATCTGATTCGTATCCGATACCGTACGTTCGAATGTTTCAGGGCTTGTCCAACTTGACGTACTTGGATTTATGCGATAATTTATTGTCGCAATTATCACCGCAAGCTTTCGCTTCACTGCCCTCGTTGCGTTCGTTGAGGATGCGCGGCAATCGCCTAAGCGTATCCGCGTTATCCGCACTGAGAGGTCTCAAGATTTTAGAGGAACTTGATTTATCCAACAATTTACTGCTAGGTTCTATGGGTCCTACTCTTCTTCCTCGGATGCCGCGGTTACGTTTCCTTACGGTGTCTGAAAACGAGTTAATAAACGTACGGCAAGGAGCTCTCATGGGATTAAGAAACTTAACTTATCTTAGCTTGAGTCACAATCAGGTAATGCATCTGGATACTTCGCGGATACGGTAATAATTAATATAACAATTTAAAGTATTATCTTGTTTCACGGTAGATCGACGTGCTGGAAGATCATTCGTTCAAATATTTATCTACGCTAACTAGGCTGGATTTAGCAAACAATCGGATCGTCGCGGTGTCCAGCGCATCCCTGGCGCATCTAGAAAAATTAACTATACTAGATCTAACCCACAATTTTCTACGCTCTCTAACCGCGGATCTAGTGGTGCCCTTAAAAAGTCTTCAAGACCTTCGACTCGACGACAACGACATCACCATGGTAGCCAACGATGTGCCCACTTCCAAATTGCGATTGAAAAGGCTCTCTTTAGCCGACAATCCTTTGAACTGCGATTGTACGCTGCTAGAATTTGCCAACTGGTTAAGTAATTCCAGCCTGAACGAGGAAGATAAGTCTTCGGCAGTGTGTGCAACACCGCCTGCATTGGAAAATGGTATACTGACACAGGTGTCTCCTGGTAGCCTGCTATGCGGTGAACCAACGCCACCGATCATGACCAGAGTACCTTTGGCTGCTGCTCAATTAACCTTAAAGGAGTTTCATTATGACAAATCTACCGGTGTCAATCTCTTGTGGCACGTAGAACCATGCACGGAACGATACACGTGCGACACCCTAATCGTTTATGAGACTGTGGGTGACAGTGAAATAGAAACGGACTCTAGTTCTCTGCATTGCGATTCGCGCATGATGAGAAACCCCTGCTCGCTACCCGTAGCGATACCTGCTTCGTTGCACTTACAGCCGGGACATAAATATCGCTACTGCGTGGTACTGCTTATACCAAGTAACTACGAAGAAGTTTCCTTAGGTTTGGGCTGCAGCGACGTGATTACTCTCGAAGAAACTAAGCGTGACCTACAGCAAGATCAACGGACCACGATATCGGAACCTTCTTCGGATACTAAAATAACTGCGGTACACGTCAACGTGTCCGATCAAGGCTTTCTGCACGTCGATGTTAGCTTGTCAACCTCGAAGAAATCAAGTATACCCGAATGTAAATTGTCGGTTGTTGTCTTCGATACCGAATCGCCGGTGCACAAACAGAAGCTGAATTGTACTTTCGCGTTTGTGACGTTGCCGGTATTGTTGCCTGGACGTTACAAAGTTTGCGCGAGCTTGGATGAAGTCAACGAAGAAGACATCGTTGGAAACTTTTTAGACGACCGGGATAGATTGCGTTGCGTCGAGGTACAGGGATTCAAGCAAAATATTGAAATCATCGTTTTGGCGATCATAGGAGCTAGCTGCGCTCTTCTGATAACTCTCGCTGTAATTGGTCGAAGCGTTATAAAGAGAGTGAAACATCCCAGAATACAGACACAATGCTTCCTACCTGCTCAGGAATTTGAAATAACTCACAAAGCACATTATATCAAATTACTAGCTACGACGAAAGTTTAACTTGTTGCCATCGAATAAGTCAATGTTTCTCATCTTGTAAATAATACGACCTATTTTTATTCATTATTTAAGTCTACCGAAAATCGTACAGTGTTTACTCGGAATATTATGAAGACTTCATAATTTCTTTTTATCGGTTTTATATTCTATGTCATTGTCTCCGTGAATTACTAGTCATAAAATCGATACTTCAACATGACGATAAATATTAGTAGATCGTAAGGATTAATATCTTGCAAATACGTGAAGTTAAAGTAATTCGATTGTTCTGAGATGATCTTAATAAGTCATATAAAATGTTAATAAAAATCGTACAAATGGATTGCTATAATGATCTGATAACGTTCTAAAGTATCAACTTTTGACACTGCCAATATAAATTGTTCTAAGTTAATAACGTGCAAGGAAACGACATACTCTATTAATAGTTTACGGATAAGTCTTTTAATACAAATGTTACATAATAATAGCACGGTCTCATGTATTTTATAACTTCTAGATAAATCTCAGACAACAGAGCTTTGCTTTTTAATTTTTAACGGAAATAAAAGTTATTTATTTTCAAATAACTTTACAACATAAGCATCACCTATCTGGTGCAGAATCGACTATTAACGGTGATTGTAGTTTTCTATACTGCGTATAACTAATGAAAACGTTCTATTTATATTAATTTCAAAGTAAAATAGTTTATACGCAAAGTATACAGTTTAAACGTTAGTTTGTATTGTTTATGCGATTTTGTATAACCACTCATCGTACTTATAATATGTGTGTACATATAATGATAATAGTGAATATTCTACTCTATATCGACACCCAAAAAGTTGTAAATATTTTGATAGATCTTAAGAGTTAGAATTGTATAGGCATTTTACTACAATTTTTTATTGTAATATTGTGTAAATAGTTCTTAGAATCTGAATAATAATTGGCATAAATATAAATGTTCAGTAAATATTACTTTACTATTTGCCTATGTATTGCTGTCGCTGCAGTTATAAAGTAACATTATTTATATAATGTTTCGGAACTTAAATTGATATAAACGGGTTGCATAATGCAGGGGGTACAAGATGGTATACATATATCGAATTGAGAATGCTAGTAACGCGTTCTGCGAGGTAAATCGATTGGTCGATACGATCCATTCGATCTATCGTTTTATGAAATGATATCCCCGCCTCGGTTAGACTTCCTTTATTTTGGTAGCGGCGTAGAAATACCAAATACTTATAGCAAACGAATTCGAACCCGTGTTACCCGTGAATTGTAGTATTCCTCGTTCGATTCTGTCTCGTATTCCGCTTAAGTCATGATTCGACCATTTTTTGATCCACACAGCCGACATTCTCTTGGCAGGAAATGCCGGCTAATCTTCTATCAAAAGTTCAGTAAACTTTCTGCCCTACACTTTTGTTTAGTAAATCGTTTTAAGCAACACTAGCACAATCTTAGAATGTAAAATGTACGAATGTACAATGCAAATTCTTTGCTGAACATTTGCTAAAGAATTTGCCACCTCCACACGATGTGATCTGATAATTAATATTGTAATCTAAACGTTTTTCGGAATATGATTTTTATAATACGGTATCGATATTGTTCGAGTTAAAATTTCATTTATTGTTCAATATCTTTTTACGGTAATCTCTTTTTCAAAACGAATGCATCCGCGCTCGTTCAAGATGCGTTATTCAAGATTCCAGGAATCATGCATTTAACACGCATGGATTAAGTAAGCGTGTGTTGTGAGTTCTATATGTAGTCACCGTTCCAAATCTAGATACATGGTATGTATAACGAAACCACTATAAATACGTACATTGATACATGCGTTATGAAGACATTGCATTAAGGTTGATATTCATTCATTCATAATAAACAATTGGTCGGAATTTTCTTGTATTACAAGTAAGAAAATCGTATCATTCAAAGAATTATTCTAATATAAAAATGACGTGAAACGAGTATTCAAAATTTGTGTAAAAAATATAAAAGAAAAGTAAATACTGTTGTATTGTACTATAACCTTATTTGTAAATTTCAAGGTTTGTATTACTTGCATTAATATTCAAATGCGTAGTCTTCTGAATTCGCAATCATCCTTATAAGTAGTTTGCTAATAATACAGTAGACTGTCACTGAAAAATATAAAAATTAAAACATGTTATATGTAAAATGAAAATAATTTTTGTTACTCATAATTCTATTTCAAAAATTCGAATTAATCTTCACATCCCACTCTTAAGTTTGTAGGTAGTTGGGTTGCCTTGTAAAAATGTCTCAACATAGAATGTCTGATGTCATCAGTGTGCTTAAAGGAGTTAAAGCAGTGACCGATGCTGCTATAAAGCATCAAGAAAAGTCGATTAAACATATAATACAAACTTCGAGCATAAAAACTTGTGCAGAAAAATGTGTGAGGAATAACGCAAGGAAATTGGGTAATATAAAACCAAGTAAGGTTCCTGTAAGTTTCAAAAATAAATGAAATAATTTTTTAACGATGAGTAGAAGTCATTTCTATTTATTTTTTATATAATATTAAGTCTTTTCATAGCGTAATACATTTTCTTCATTCTATATCGTGTTAAGCTTATTAATTTTAATCAATTTCTTATACAAAATACAGTTTACCGTATAATATATTATATGTACAGAGTCAAGTAACGGAACAGCTGAAAGAAGTAGCAGAACGGATAAATGTCGTTGAGAAAGGTATAATTGAATTTATGAAATTTAAAGCTAGCGAAACTATTGGAACACCGTTTAATGAAATTACTCCTGTAACATCGAGTAAATCCAAGTTACATGTTTATAATCCTGCTAAAGATCCTAAAGAAATAGTAGTTGTAATGGATGTTTCGGATATTAAAGCAGAATCTGCGGATAATATACAAGATAAACAAAATAAATCTGTAACAAAGAAATATACAACTGTAAAGGAAAAAATCGAAACGATATCTAAATTAGATAACGAAATACCGAAGATCGAACTTTCGGAAAAAGATAAGGAAATTTTAAGACGACTAGAATTAGAGCATGAAGAAAATACAAGAAGCCAGAAAACGAAACAAGATGATTTGCCAAAAACTTATTCGAAAAATAAAAATGCGGACATAATTATGGAAAAGCCTCGAGCTAAACCATCTATTAGACCAAAGCAAACTGTAGGTTCTCTTTCTATCTTTTGTATAACTTACATGTTGCATATGTAAATAAATTAATCGTTATGTTGAAGCTTTCACCTAGCGCAAAAGCACAAAAAGTTCCAGCAACTAGATTACAAAGGATGATGAGTTTCGGGACATTAGGAATTGGTTTAGGCGTTGGTACGGTTGCAGAGTATACACGCAGAACATTAGGATTGAAAAAACAAAGTCTTGGAGATACGTTTGACAATATGTTTCTTACCAAAGCAAATGCAGAACGAATAGTTTCAACTTTATGTAAAGTAAGAGGTAATTATTATTTACAAATTTATTATATTCTTTATTGAACAATAATTACATATTCTATACATGCTTATATATTAGGTGCAGCTTTAAAAATTGGACAAATTTTAAGTATACAAGATGAAACTATTATCAGTCCTGAATTGCAACAAATTTTTGAACGAGTTAGACAAAGTGCTGATTTTATGCCAAAATGGCAAGTTGAGAAAGTACTAGCTAATGAACTTGGACATGATTGGAGAAGCAAATTAGCCACATTTGAAGAAAAACCATTTGCTGCAGCTTCGATTGGTAATTGTCGTTTTTAACGAATTACCGTAAACGAATTTGTGAAATATATATTTTATGTTACAACAAAATTACAGGTCAGGTACATCATGGTGCTTTACTGAATGGGCAGGATGTTGCAATAAAAATTCAATATCCTGGTGTAGCTATGGGTATTCAAAGCGATGTTGAAAATTTAGTGGGCATAATGAAGGTATTAAAATATCCCCATATTTATATCAGTAGATGTCCTAGAACGTAATTATATCTGTAACAAATTTTTCAGCTTTGGAATTTGTTTCCAAAAGGTATGTTTATAGATAACTTAGTAGAAGTAGCAAAACGAGAACTTGCTTGGGAAGTTGATTATATTCGAGAAGCAGACTGTACACGAAATTATAAAAAACTTATGCAACCTTATCCAGATTATTACGTTCCTGCTACAATAGGTATGACATTTGCAAAATTAATAATTAACTATAAAAGTAATTATTTTATTTTATACATAGATGAATTATCAACGAGTCAGATTTTTACAACTGAAATGATAGATGGTATTCCAGTAGACAAATGTATGAACATGGATATGGAGATAAGAGAACGCATTTGCAAATTAATAATGCGTTTATGCCTTAAGGAATTATTTGTTTTCCGATATATGCAAACTGACCCGAATTGGTCGAATTTTTTCTATAATCCTGATACAAGACAAGTTTGTATTCCAATACTTGATAACACTAGTATATGATCCATAATTGTGTTAATATCTGTTATATTTTTTTCTATAATTTTTTAGTTAATATTATTAGACTTCGGTGCATGTCGGGAATATGATAAGTCGTTCATGGATAAATACATTGAAATAATTTATGCTGCAAGCGAAGGTGATCGTGATAAAATTTTAAACTTATCTAAGGAAATGGGATTTCTTACGGGTTACGAATCTAAAGTATGAAGCAAATTTTTTAATGTTATTAATACGTATTGAATGAAAAGCATTAAATAAGTATACACGTATAATTGTACTGTACTAATTTCAGATCATGGAAGAAGCTCATGTTGATGCAGTAATGGTTTTAGGTCAAGTATTTGATAAAAATCATAAATATTATGATTTTGGTGGACAAGATGTAACTAAACGGTAACTTATTAAGTTATTTCTTAGTTAAGTTCTACTAGAAATGCGTATAACTAATTAACTGCTTAATTAATTTCAGAATACAGTCATTAGTTCCAACAATATTAGATCATAGACTTTGCCCTCCACCTGAAGAGATATATAGTTTACACCGAAAGTTGTCAGGTGTTTTTTTGTTATGTGCTAAACTTCAAGTTAAAATAAACTGTCGTGATATGTTTCGCGAAGTCTATGCAAATTATAAATTTGGTTGATGTAATTTAGCTGTAAATAAATACATTATAGTCCTAAATATATTTACATAATGTAACTTTATATACATGTATTTTTGAAAATAGAAAATAAATCATTAAAATGTCAATATTTGGTAAAAATTTTTTAGGTATAAATAAATATAACTTAATATTTATTAGTTGATACGTATATAAAATACATTGTTTATTTCTGCACGTATTTTCACGATCTATAATTCTATCAAAGCCGTGAATAGTACTTACGTATTAAAATCGCGTAATTATATTTTATGTCAATACAGATATCTATTACATACAGCATTGATAGCGATAGTATCTTAACCTCTTATTGGTTTGTTAAATTGTTGTTATTTGGTTTATATTGTTATCAACTAACGAAAAAATGTGTAATAAATTTTTATATTTTGCGTATGGAAGTAATATGTTAACAAAAAGAATACATATTAACAATCCAACTGCGATACGAAAAGATATCGGTTTTTTAAAAGTAAATACATGTGCAACGTTTAATTGTTTGAAAAAAGTTCATTCAAGTTTCCGTTTCTATTTTTTCGTCGCAATTTGTATTAATTAGTTTTTATTTAAATACTTATTATTGTTTATTGATTTATATATTTTTTCATGCTAAATATTATTTTTGCAAATACTGAGCTGTATTAGAATTTCAGGCTAGACTTTATAACACACTCTAGAAGATGGGGTGGATGTTCTGCAACAATTGTTCCCACAGAAAATTCTGTTGTATGGGGTGCAGTTTGGGAATTACATGAATGTAATATGTCTACATTAGATAATCAAGAAGGTGTTGCAGATAAATTATATTTTCCTTTGACAGTTGACATTCAAACTCCAAGTGGTAATATATTAAAATGTAGAGTATATCAACAGTGTAACAATCCAGATGAACATGTAAATTTGTGTTCATTACCAAAACACAGAAGACCATCGCCACTATATCTGTAAATTATGTTATTTTAAACGTTCTAATCTATCTACATATGCATATATTGTTCAGTTTCAGTGAAAATATAATCTGTTTAATTTACTTTCATTCTAGAGATACAATACTAAATGGTGCAAAAGAAAGTCAATTGCCACACAATTACATTAAATGTTTAGAAACAATACCACATAATGGATATGATGGAGAATACGATATCGGGTATGAATTATTCTTAGTTATTAATTTATTTCTACTGCCTTGAAAAAAAAATATATATACATATATATTATTCACATATTTGATACTGCAGTAACCCATTTTAATAAAAAAGATGCTTATTTACATTGTAAATATAAGTCTAGTACAACTTATTTTTAAATCAGTTAATTTTTTGATAATAATTTTACGATGCTAGAGATTCTGTACATTTTTTTGTTAAAATATTCATTGTTGCATCACAGCCTACCCTTGAAAAAAATTTAGTGTCGACAATCTTCCGATTTTTCAAACGTTTCTGGATGGATGGTTCATTCACTGCTAAGTCAAAGGCGGCGTCGATTTGTAATTTCTCCAGTTTGTATCTAGGTATCTTCATCTTTTTGTAACATATTCCATTTATCTAATTACAAATACAAGTAGTATGGTTATGGTATATTATTAGAGTGTTACATGCTATATTATATTTATGTAAATCGATATTGTAATAACAGTGAATTAACATTCACAAAACAAGAAATACACATCAAAAATTCAACCTACACTGATTTTCATTTCCATGTTATATTCCATGTCTATTTCCGGCCAATTTTGTTCCATAACATTTTTATTTAATTTGACTTCATTTTCATTTATAAGATGATATTTCGCTGAACAAAATGCAGCCCACAATTCTGAAGCAAAATGCGGTGCCAATGGTGCAAGCATTATAATTTGAACTGCTAATGCGCGTTCGAATTCACGGCTTTTTCTCAAACAGTCTTGAGAAACTTTGCGCAAGCTTATTGTTAAAAATAAAAACCAGATAATAAGTTTAGATTTATTGTAACTATTGATAAATGTAATATGTAAACATGTACCTGTTTGTAAGACCTTGCATTCTTGATATTGCAACGCTTAATTGCTGGGAATAAATTATATTAAAAGTTACAGCTTTTAAAAAATAATTACGACTATCAAACATATACGCATCATCGTCAATAAATTTGGAATTAGTGGGTATTTCACCGAGTTCTTCCATCGTTACGTTATTACGATAGTCTATAAACGTTTTCACTGTTTTCCACAAACGATTTTGCCAATTGATTATTCCCGGAATGGCTAAATATTATTAAATAGTGTTATACGATATTATCGTAAGATATAAAAATTTATTACGAATCAAATTTTAACTTACTATCATCGCTCCAATTTCTAGTCGAAGTTGGTGCAACATCAGCCAGTATTAGCAATCTAGTTGTATCAATTCCATGCGTGTTTAATAATTCGAGAGGATCAACACCATTGTGCTTTGATTTAGACATTTTTTCCCATGTAACATTCACTAATTCTTTGGTACTCTTTTCTACATATTGCTCTCCCACTTTTTCTACTTCGTTCGCATTTAAATATTTTCCTGTATTCTGTACTTGATAGGTCTTACCCATTACCATACCTTGCACGAGCAATTGTTTAAATGGTTCTTGAGTAGGTATCAAGTTTTCCGAATGTAGAAAATGACTTATAAATCTGGCATAGTATAAATGCAGTACAGCTGAAATTATAATACTTTTATATTAAAATTTTTAAACAGACTGTAAATCTTACTTATATTTATAAAAGGTTTAAATATTAAATTATATACCATGTTCTTTTCCACCTATATAAAGATCAACAGGAAACAGTTTCTTTACTTTATCGATTGAAAACATATTTTCTGTATTTTTTGGATCAATGTATCTCAAAAAATACCACGAACTATCTACAAACGTGTCCATAGTATCCATTTCCCTAAGTGCTTGGTCTCCACATTTCGGACAAGAGGTATTTAACCAATCTTTAGCTTCGTTCAATGTAGACTTTTTATTTAACAATTTCACTTTTGGCAAAAGTATAGGAAGTTGGTCTCTTGGTACTGGTTGAGCACCACAATTTGAGCAATGAATAATTGGAATTGGTGTACCCCAATACCTTTGTCTAGATATTAGCCAATCCTGTAATCTCGAGCTAACTAAATATCCACCAATTTTCCATTTTTGTGCTTTCGATAATACTTCCGCGCGTTTGGATTGCTGTTCTTCAGAACTTCTTACCGAATGTCGTTGAAATTCAATACCGACAGTTTCGGAAAACTGATAATCATCCATCGAAGCAGACGGTATACCAATGTAAGTATCTCTGAAAGGTTGAAATGAAACTTTATCTGTCACAAATATTGGTAGTTCTTCTCCATTGAATGGATTTAATACTTTGGCATCTAATGCTTTAATTTCTTCATCCACGTTATGGCAATGTTCCGCTCTATTTAATAAACTACTTGAGCGAATTGCAACAAATTTTGCATATTCGATATATTCTGGAATATCAGTCCAAACATTGATTGTTTTCGGATAATTTGGAATATCTGTTACCAATTGCAATTCAAAACTAGTTCCATTACATTCACCTATCCAATTTTTTTGTATCTTTTTAATGTCTCCCCATTGTTTCAATGTTGGGTTCTTTAAACCATCAAATAATGACCTAATACATCATAAAATAAATGAGCAAAATACGAAATTGAATAGTTTAAATGTCTGATTATTAATAAGCTTACTTAGCAAATGGTGTGGTTCTAATAAACCATTGATTTAACAGCCTCTTTTCAACTTTAGCACCTGATCTCCATGAACAATTATTTGGATCAACTTGTTCCTCTGCCAATACAGTTTCATCAACAGGATCCCAATTAACAAATGCTTCTTTCTGATAAACAAAACCTTTCTCATATAGCTTCAAAAATAACTCTTGTGTCCATTTGTAATATTCTGGATTACATGTACAAATTTCTCTATCCCAATCGAAGGCATAGTTTAACAAGCTTAATTGATTTTGCATTTTTTCAATATTTTCTCTTGTCCATTTGTCAGGATCAATTTGTTTTTCAATAGCTGCATTTTCAGCAGGTAATCCAAAAGCATCCCATCCCATTGGGTGAAGAACATTATATCCTAAAATTGAACACAAAACGATAAACGACTTATACTGTACAATCGTTATATTTTGATGTAGATAACATACCTTTCATTCTATAAAATCTAGCAACAGCATCACTTATTGTATAAACTCTTATGTGACCCATATGAAGTAATCCAGAAGGATACGGAAACATTGATAATACATAAAATTTCTCTCTTGTACTGTCTGTTTCATCAAATTTATGTAAATTAATTTTATCTTTCCAATATCTTTCTATATCTTTCTTCATTGAATTTGAAACTGTTTCGTTCTAAAACGGTATTTAATTCTACTGTTAGTGTAAAACTGTCAATCTAAATTGTATTCATTTACAAAACCATACATACCGAAAATAAATTTACGCCAGTCGAAGCATGTCGAACTGTAACATTTCTAAACATTACATGATTTTTGTAATAAACCAACAGTCTTCTACAAAATAGTTTTGTAATCTTCATTATTAAGTTATATTGTTCAAATATTTATACAAATATTATATACATTTTATAATCGGAGGACAAGCATTCAACTCATATCATGTATGAAAATTGCCATCTTGTTTAACTACTTTAAATAAGTATAATCTTGTATTATAGTAAATATATTTTTGAAACTAATGATTATTTATCATTTAGTACCACTAAAAAATCAATTTTTATGTATACATGAACAATGTCATATTTTAGTAAATAAATTTCAGTTCGCCGCAATTTGTTACCGACTTCCGCTTTGAGCCAATGGTTCCTTTTTCCGGTGTGTGCGGTGTAAACAACTTCGTGAGTAATATTTCAAATTTTAAATCCAGCAAAACTTTTAACATCCGAAATTAATATTTAATGTAAGAATAATGAATTATTATTTTTAATTCTTTCGACCATGATTGCAATATATTTGTGATCTTATTCTTTTATATGTGCACAAATTTTGCTGATTATAAACGAGAAGTTAACTTTTCATACGTTTTCAATTACACTCAAATTTTTTAGTAAAACAAGTACGTGGATAATTATTATATTAATATAAAGCGATATTATAATTGTACAAGTTTTAATGGAATTTAAAATGTTTCTTAGCAATTCGTGACAATATTAGATTCTAACCTTTTCTTACATTAAGTATTCTACTTTTTCTTACTTTCTGTATTTAGAGAATCTTACAAATTATTTGCTAAATGATTTAATAACAATATTTTTGTTCTAGTTCAACCATGGGTAAAAGAAATAATATGATTCCTAATGGGCACTTCCACAAAGACTGGCAGAGATTTGTCAAGACGTGGTTCAATCAGCCAGCTAGAAAGCTTCGTCGTAAACAAAGTCGTGTAAAGAAAGCTCGTGCTGTTGCGCCAAGGTAAGTGTAGTATACGTACATTTAGCATTTTTTCTTACATTTACTTTTAATGTATAACACTTTGAACTTGTTGGATAGACCTGTAAAATTGTTGAGACCTGTTGTTCATTGCCCAACATTCCGTTATCATACAAAAGTTAGAGCTGGCAAAGGTTTTACATTGGCAGAATTGAAAGCCAGTGGTCTAAATAAAAGATTTGCCAAAACTATTGGAATTGCCATCGATCCAAGAAGACGCAACAAGTCTGTGGAATGTTTGCAATCAAATGCTCAACGATTGAAAGAATATAAATCAAAACTGATTCTTTTCCCATTGAATGAAAAGAAAGTAAGTATTATGGAAAAGATTGTAAAGTATAATGAAAAAGTGTATTGAATTAATGTATTTTTTAAAAATAGCCTAAGAAGGGTGATGCAACTGAAGAGGAAATGAAAGTTGCAACGCAAGTTAAAGGAGAAATTATGCCAATAAGGCATCAAGCACCAGCTAAAGCCAAGGCACGTCTCATTTCTGAAGAGGAAAGAAAGTTCTCTGCATACGTGACCCTCCGTAAAGCTAGGGCTGATGCTAGATTGGTTGGAATTCGTGCAAAGCGTGTCAAAGATGCAGCAGAAAATCCTGATGATGTTACAAAAGTAGCTAAGGATAAAAAGATTAAGAAGTAACTTGATGGCACTGTATAAATATAAAAAATAAATTCTCAAATGAGAAATGACTTGGTTTATCAATGCGTTATATCATTATTCTCATAAAAATATATATTTTTTAACAACGTTTGCGAACTTCTCGCAAACGGTAAATTTTAAATATTTTCAAAACAATTCCGCTATCGTTAATATATAATCCCGCATACAGTCGAGTGCATATCTGGTTACCATAGGGGATATTGCATTGAAGGGGAACAGTCTTCACAAATTGTAGGAATTAACGGAACTAGATACTAGAGTTCCTCGCTGGTAGATGGCGCCACAAGAATCTTTCCAGAACCGTTTAAATCTATAATCACTAGTTATCAGCTTTAGCACTCCTGCATTATCATGTATTATACCTAATTCTAACCATTTGACGGATAGCTTCTCAGGCGCCATCTCTTGTGAGAAAATAAAATACAATACAATACAATTTGATGGATAAAAAAATGTTCCCAAGTATATGATTAACTGGAGTTAATGACTACAAGAATTGTCGTCCACATGTGTGGACAACTACACAATCGATTATCTGTAAAAGCGAGTGGTTCCAGTTTGCAATAAAAAATGCACAAAAGTTTATTTGTGCTTTCTTTGTGGATGCTGCATTTTGTGTGCTGGGATTTTTTTATATAAATGATGGCTGCATTGTATGCAACGGTGATGTTATTGAAGTTTGAATTCTGAATAGTGAACAGTAGCGAATGAAAACGACGGTTTACAATTTGTGAAATCTATCAAAAAATAAGAGGCTAAACGTGTTATTTATAGTAACCTGATATAAAAATAAATATAAAGACAACAAAATGAAATCTGTGTAAGTTTCTATGTTTTTTCCTTTTTTAATAAATTGTTAATTAAATATTTATTGCTGTTTATGTATAATATTTGTAATTACTAATTATAACCATTTTATTTAAACATTTTAGACGTGTAAGGGCACCAGTCTCTGCTCGTAAGCCAGTAAATCGGCCAAGAGTTAATAACATGATATCTAAAGATCCAGTTCAAGTTTACTGTCGTTTACGATCAATGCAACATCCTACTGATATATCATGTATGAAGGTTATATCCGATACAGTTGTTGTTATAACTCCACCTGAATCAGCAACAAATTTTCGTAATTCAAATAATAAAGAAATCCAAACAATGTTCAGTTGTGTATTTACGCCGAACACAACGCAAAAGGAAGTGTTTAATGTGGTTGCTCTTCCTTTGGTTGAAAATGTAATTCGTGGTAGAAATAGTCTTTTATTTACTTATGGAGTAACTGGGAGCGGTAAAACATACACAATGACTGGTGAACCACAAGATCCTGGCATAATGCCTCGTTGCCTGGATGTAATTTTTAATAGTATTGCTAATTATCAGACGAAAAAATTTATTTTCAAACCAGATAAATTAAATGGTTTTGATATACAAAGCGAAGCCGATGCTATGCTTGATAGACAAAATGAGCTGCATGCAGGTCTCATATCACAAAGGAATGGAAAATTAGGCAAACAGTAAGCAGAAAAACATATTTGATATTTATTTATATTGTTACAAATATATAATGATTTTATTAGACGAAAAGCAGACAGTGATGGTGACAGTAATCCAATAATACTTCGTGAGATTGAAGAATCACAAGCAATAACAGTAGATCAAGACAATGCTTATGCTGTGTTTGTTACTTATGTTGAAATATATAATAACAGTGTGTATGACTTGTTGGAGGATGAAGATATTAGAACTAAGTATTATTAAAAATTCACATTTTATTCCGCGAATGTATTCACTAATTTAACCAGTGATAATATTTGAAACTAATTTGCAGAACTTTACAAAGTAAAATAGTCAGAGAAGATGGTAACAAAAACATGTATGTACATGCTGTCACAGAAATTGAAGTGAAAAGTTCTGAAGAAGCATTCGAAGTATTTCATCGTGGACAACGACGACGAAGAGTTGCGCACACCGCGCTTAACGCAGAGTCAAGTAGATCACATAGCGTTTTCACCATTCGTCTTGTACAAGTAATGTTTTTAATTTTATTATTCTTCATATAGTTAATATTTATAAACACTGTAATATACTTGTAATAGGCACCTTTGGACTCAGAAGGTGAACAAGTGATACAAGATAAACGAGTAGTATGCATTACTCAACTGTCATTAGTAGACTTAGCAGGTAGTGAAAGAACTAATCGAACCAAAAATACTGGTCAACGATTAAGGGAAGCAGGTAACCTGGTTTTAGAAATAAATATAACTGTAAATTTGTAACATGTGTCTTTAATTATTGTGAATTTTGTTTAGGAAATATAAATAATTCTTTAATGACACTTAGATCATGCTTGGAAATATTAAGGGAGAATCAACTACAAGGTACAAATAAAATAGTGCCTTATCGAGATTCAAAACTTACTCATTTGTTCAAAAATTATTTTGACGGTGAAGGTCAAGTTAGAATGATTGTTTGCGTAAATCCGAGGGCGGATGATTACGATGAAACAATTGTACGTAAAAAATGAGTGTACAAAAATGTGAATATAAACAAGTGAAATGGATCAATTTTTACTTACATACATTTTCAGCAAGTTATGAAATTTGCGGAAATGACACAAGAAGTACAAGTAGCTAGACCAACAATTACCAAAGTAGATCTTGGTTTTACACCTGGAAGAAGACAAGCGAATAAGGTAAACGAATATAACTATCGTAATTTGATGAGTGTTTTTAAAAAAATGATTGTTTATAGATATTTAAAGAGGCACGCAGTAAATTAGAAAAAGAAGGTCGTCCTGAAGCTGCTGATTTGGAAGTAGATATAGGTTTAGTGTATAGGTAAGTAACTTCCAATTGTTCCTTATCTTTTTGCATTACAATTTTATTCAATGTTACTTTACTTCTATTTAGTTTGGGTGGTCCGTTTCCCGAGTTAGAAATTAGCTCTCCACGCAATGACCAAATAATTACCAGTTTAATGCATTTTCTGGAACAACGTATAAACAAACGGAATATACTACGCTCTGATTTACAACAAAAACGTAAGAATAAAATGTTTCCTTTAACATACCATAGATGCCGTTAAATATTGTGATGATTCTATTTACAGAAAACGAGCTTAGAAAAATGTTGATGACGGTGGAACAGGAACATCTGAATTTAAAGATTGAAAATGCATCTTTAAAAGCAGCTAATTCCCAACAAAGAAAGAAGGTATAGGTAACTTAAAAATTGTACAGTAAAATAGAAATAACCCAGTTTTATTCTAGGTGTCTGCATTGGAAGGTCATTTATGTAAAACTGAAGAACAAATAGATAATTTACTTCGTAAATTAAATAATGCAAATGATACAATACGTAGTTTGCAACAAGAGGTATGTGAAAAGTATGTTTATTATTTTCGATATGTTTACATTACTGTTTTGTAGCTGAAAGACCGGGATATGGCATTGAATCAACGTTTGATAGATAAACAGAGAGCAAAACAGAAATATAATACTAAAATACAAGCAGAAACTGATAAAATGAACAAAGAATTGGAAATGAAATTACGTCAACAACGTGAACATTTGCAGGTAACGAGATAAAGTAAATTCTCACCAAATGAAATTGTATAATTTTTAATGAACATTTATAACTGTTCTAGAATCAAATGAGAGAAAAAGACGATAAACTAAGATTAGTAAAGCAAATTTTAGTCGATGATGATCTTAATCCCGTACCTTCTGCTCCTAAAGAGCGTATTACAACTACCCCTAGTTGTTCAGATGCAACTCCAAGAGCAACAGATTATCGATCACGAAGAGTCAGTTTTTTCCACTTATTTTACTTTTAAATAATCAACTTAAAAATATAGCTCATATAAATTTGCAGGATAAAACAGGTGTCTCAAATCCAAGACACAGAAGATCACAAAGCGCTGACAGATGGATCGATCACAGACCAGGAGCACTTGTTCCTCTAGGAACAGTTCTTCAACCATTAATGCGTAGAAGACGTAGTGTCACACGGCTTACAGATCCAAAAGAAATTACAGATGGTGCATCTAGATATTGTCTCGTAGCACAAGAACACGATACAGATGGTGAGCTTGAGACAAAACTATACAAGGTAATTTTATTGTAAACAGATTAAAATCAGTTGTTATAATTATACGTTATAAGAGTACTATTGATATTTTAGGCAGATATATTACCCACTAGTGGAGGCGGTGCGCAAGTTGTATTTAACGATATGGAATGTTTAAAACAATCATCTCCCAAAGCAAGGAAACGCAGTGGTCCATCAGAAATAGACAATATAAATGGAATCGGCACTCCAAATCATTCGTCTACGTTGATAGAAACCCATTCCAAAAGACCACGCGTAGTAAATTAATAAATATACTAATCATCGATGTGTAGAATTGAAACTTATTACAGTATTACAGCTCTGCTTTTATAATTTATTATATAATACATTTACAAAACAAAATAATTAAGATACAACAGGTATAATACCTTGTATGTAATACTTGACTCATAAAAGTTGCTAACTGAATCAATTTATTTATATATACTTTATATAATTTTTAAAATACGACGATAGAGGTTTTTATTTTCAATTTGTAAATATTAAGCAAGAATTACAGCAAACAATCGTGTATAAAAACAATTATGTTTTTGAATGACTACGAATGTATTTGTCACGTAGTTTGTAACATTAAGATATGGAATTGAATCTACTCGTCGATGTATATTTCACTTTGATCTATTCTATTTTTATACGTGACTATTTATATACATAGCTGTAAAATTGTACATTGATACAATGTTCTATCAGTTTAAATGACAGTGTATTTAATTACAAACGTTGTCTTCGTAATTGATTGTCTAGTTGCGCTAATTGATAAAGAAAACCACTGTTTGGTTGAACATTACGATTTTTACGAACTGTTCGAATTGCATCAACAGCTAGCATTCCTTTTTTTATCATTAAGTATGCTAATACGCACGTTGCACTACGGGAAATGCCCAACATGCAATGAACAAATGCTTTCCCTAATAAAAGAGACATTATCATTTTTCGTCTGTTTGTATAGTATTTGTGCTTAATTTCTTTGTATTTATTATTTTCAATTACATCATAAACAAATTACCTCCTGTGGAAACAGCTTCATCAATAAAGGCTGCAGCAGTATAAAAATACTTGCTAATATCTGTAGTTAATAAATCAGCAAGAGGCAATCCAAGGTACTTTATCGTTGTATTAATGTAGTAACTCTCATCTGTATTCACAAACCCAAATTTTTTTCCTTGTGCAGCATTCAATAAATGTGTTATACCCAACATTTTAAGATATTCTATATTCTTTGCTGTGGCACTTTACGATATTGAATGAAATTAATGTTTTCATAACTGTAGCTTGCAAAATATTGCTTTATAGAGAAACGTTAAAATACTTACGCATCACCGATATATATACCTGGATACACTTCATCGCAATCGATACCCTGTTGGGCACGATAATACTGGACATGATCCACATTTGGATTAAATCCAGGTATTGGCTTATTATCAGTTCGCGTCGCATGTAAAGCTTGTGCTAAATGCTGTTGAGTAGTTATTCCATCAGGTAGGTGTTTTTGGAAGTCCTGCTTATAGAAATGAACATTAAAAATAACTTTTGCAAGTTAATTAATATTTTAGAATTTTAATAAGGTAAAAAATTTAAGTACTTCAAAGATATTTCATTGAAAATTAAGAAAATAGAAATTCCACAACTTTAATTTCTTCTGAGAATTATGTTGCATTACTTGATAATTACAGTTTTTGATATTAATTGAACACGACTTGAATATATTACCCGATCTCTGTCTCTCCATGTACTTCGCATCATGCATAGATACTAATGCTACAGAACTCAGAAAAGAAGTGGTATCGTTGGACGCGTTTATTTATTTTTAAATGCTCCTACGAAATGTTCGACAAACCAAATATGGCTTGTATCGTGAAGCGTGTAGAAATGATTATCAAGTAACAAAAGACACATATGGCATATATCTATATTTAAGAAATATCAATTATTTTTAACGATATAAACTTACATTTTTCAAGGTACCCTCCATTTGAAAGGGTTATTCAAAAAACAAATACTTCGCGAAAAGAATGATAGGATGATAAAATTTTTTTGATTGTAAGATACCTTTTCTATTACTGCAATTAAGACTGTAACGCATTTATGATGTCATAAGTGTTTACTAATTGCAAATCTCTGTTTACATGCGAATTGAGATACCACACGTCACGAACGCCGTCATAGAATAGATGTATCATGTAATATAAATTTCTGTCGCGCGATCATTGTATACATATATCTGTATGCATTTATATGTGTTACATAGTGATTATACATTGTCATAAGCATTTCAATTTTTGCCTACAATTACATTTTGGTTGTAAAGTAAAGAACAAGTTTACATCTTGAACATATGGAAAATTATCTAATTGCATATTTTATTATAAAATTTCATGTTCTATCAAACAAATTTTCCATATAATTAACTTTTACACTCTGATTATTTTCTAGAAATTGTAATACATATATTTAATTAAAGCTTATCTATTTTTATTGTATATAAAAAAAGATTTTATGAACTATTGCCCGTAAAATTTAAAATTTGTATTACGTTCATCAGACGACGAATTTTGGTTCCTACTGCACATTTTAGTTCTGATAGGCCGAATACGTTGCAAAGAGTAGTGCGCATGTGCTCTTGTAACATTTGTAGTGTCGATTATGTATATCGAGTGACTTTTTTATTCTGTACACTACTTACATCACAATCTCTTTTCGCTATTCGTGCATTTTGTCCACTCTGTATATAATCGTCAAAATGTTGGAGAGCATTCTGAAGTTAGTAGAGTTGCGCAAATTGAGTATGATCTATCGTGGAGCGAATAACAGTTCAGATAATTGAAGCGAATCGAAGATTTCAAACTAAGTAAGGGATGAGTCATGACGTATATCAATGCCAGAAAGAATATGGCGGAGGTGTACGGATGAAGCGGTGTTTTCTGTTGATTTTGTTTAAAGTGATCGATAATTGTGGTGTTCTTGATTGCGATTATATTATAAAGTTTCAATTTCGCTGAAACAATGAGTTTCTTTACCAAAGTGTTCGGTGGTAAAAAGGATCCGGCTCCTATGACAACGGCCGAGGCTATCCAAAAGTTACGCGAAACCGAGGATATGTTGATAAAGAAACAAGATTTTCTTGAAAGTAAAATAGAACTTGAAATTCAGGTTGCTAGAAAAAATGGAACGAAAAATAAAAGAGGTATTTATAAACAACTTTTGTTTAATTATTATATATGTGTACAAGATTCTCAAGCAGTAAGGTCATTTGTCATTATGACGTTTCCCATTTTTGTATCTACTTTCCTCATTTCTGTATTCACGAACAAAGTATTGAGAAGCTTCTGTTTCATGATACATTGACTGTATCGTGAAAATAAATTTACATGGTACAGCTGAAACTATTTATTTTGGCATTTAATTTAAATATTTTACTAGATTGCAATCAATGAAAAAAACATATATTTTTCAGCTGCAATCCAAGCTCTCAAAAGAAAAAAGCGATATGAAAAACAGTTACAGCAAATTGATGGTACATTATCTACGATTGAAATGCAAAGGGAAGCACTCGAAAGTGCAAATACTAACACTGCTGTACTTACTACCATGAAGAATGCAGCAGACGCATTGAAATCTGTACATCAGCACATGTAAGAATTTTATTTCTACAGTATAATTAATATTTTTGTAGAATAAATTTCAATGTAATGTTAATTTATTTAGGGACGTTGACCAAGTGCACGATATGATGGATGATATAGCTGAACAACAAGATGTGGCAAAAGAAATTTCTGACGCGATATCTAATCCTGTAGCATTTGGACAGGATGTGGATGAAGAAGAATTAGAAAAAGAATTAGAAGAGCTTGAACAAGAACAACTTGACAAAGAATTACTTGGCATTGAACCAACTGATGAACTTCCAAATGTTCCAGCTACAACTATTCCTTCTGCACCAGCTAGGACTCGTGCAAGTAAGACTTTTAATGTTTCCTACGATGTGTCATTATAATAATATTCTTTTTGAACGAAAAATTTAATCAATATTCACAGAAACCAAACCTGATGAGGATGAAGACTTAAAAGAATTAGAAGCATGGGCATCGTAAGGTGATAGCATAATAAACATAAAAGTAAATTTTGTAAGAAATTAATCAATGAAATTAAGTATATATCATTGAAAAATCAATTATGTACATGAATGTACTTTTCAAATTTTGTAGTATTTTTCTGTGCACGTCGGAAAGGATGTTGATCAAAATAATAACGAAGCTTTCATTATAGCTATTGTGCTTTCTATGCATATACATTTTTTTACTAATGTACAAAAACGCTTATATGTAACAGAAAACAAGTGTTTATAACAGAAAGTAATAATTACTGATAAATTATTATATCATTGCTGGTATATATATATATATATCTACATATGTATATATATATATATACACATATGTATATATAATTTACACTCGCAGTAAATAAGTATCTATAAAAATTTTTTGTATAGAGGAAATGACAAATTAAGATGTAATAGCGTTTATTAAATCTAAATGTTATTTTCATGTGTATATACATAATAGATATTGAAAAATAGTATAGCGTTTAAATTGTTAAATGGCCTTTTATCTTCGTGTAAGTTTAACAGCTGCAAATAAATCCATTTAAATAACATAGCAATAAAGTATAACTACATTTAAAGTAGAAATCGTTATAAAATAATAAGAGTTTTTGAATTGTAATTCAATTATAATTGACAGTACTATAAACATTTATTTTTACATGAAAAATTAATAATAAATAAAAAAAATAAATATTAAAATTTTTAATCAAAAGTGTATTTAAATTTTAATTTAATGCAATTAGTGGAACGGCCCGTGCTATGTACTTAGGAATTGTCTTCCTATATTTTAATAATCAATAAGTTAATACTTTGCAAAATAACTGATTTTATTGGACTTGATTCTGAATTTGATTTTAACACGTGTTCTTGAATAAAGGTTTGATTACAGAATGAAGAGCCAACGATTTTGTTTTTAAAATAAAATTGAATATGATCAAACGATGATAGCCTTAAATATTAATCATTTGTTCACAAGTACAAATAGAATTCTTCTTGATCGATGACTCTGATGATCACCATAGGATGTAGGAATTATTCAAAATGATACGCATATAAATGTATCAAGAAAAAAGGAAACAATCTTTTAAAAAAACCGCTACAAAGATTGTTAGTAGCGCCACCTATCCACAAACCGCTGAACTACGATGAATCCGTGTAAAGTACCGACGGGATTCTGTCGGTATTTAATTGATTATACTTCACCGGTAATGTACCATCAGAGAAGTTTCTATTGTAGTTCCGCGTATTACTGCTAGATGGCGCTGCGCCGACCCTAATAATGCAATAAAAGCTTCCTAAAGGCTTTAATAAAGAAAATAAAAAAATGTAATTTTATGGACAAAATTTGTGGCGCCATCTAGCGGCGAAACTGTGAACTAAACTGAAAAACGTATGCGCGTACACGCGTTAAGGAAAAATATAAAGAGTAATATTTCACAACTTTGACGACGTAGTATGTTTCTTTAGACATTTTAAAGCAATTTTTGTTAAATAAGTTATTCATTTTTTTGCCTATTAAGCCCAGAAAATTAATTTTTATTTGACTCCTTTACTGCGTGTTCGGATATACGGTTTTTCAGTTTAGTTCGCGGTTTCGCCGCTAGATGGCGCCACAAATTTTGTCCATAAAATTACATTTTTTTTATTTTCTTTATTAAAGCCTTTAGGAAGCTTTTGTTGCATTATTTTGCTTCTAATGCGATCACATGACACTTTCTGAGCCTCGGAAGTACTCAAAGTTCGCTGATTTTCGAGAAAATCGCATTTTTATATTACTGTAGTTCCAACTTTCACCGCTAGATGGACGGCAATTTT